AATGTAAAAATAGAATCGCGGTCAAAATCATTCTCACCTCCAGATCGCAAAAATGGCAACCTTTTAGACAAGGCTAGTATGCCTAGTATCAAAAATAAGAGTCTCGAGGAACATGATTTCATTAGACAAGAAAATGTTTGTAGTTCAACTAACAAAATTCAATTCAATAGAGATTTTAAACGAATTAATGTTGAAATAACAAAACCTAAATCAAATCCCAATTTGATTATTAAAAGCGAACAGGATTATGTACAGAAAGCGGATGAAAAAGTTGATAAGCCACTGAGGGGTAAGATTTCCATATACATATGTGATATATGCTTTTAACTTTTATTTTATGACAGTGTTCAAAACTTTTTTCTGCTTTTCCAGGATTTGATTTGTTAATGCGACGACCAAAACAAACCAAATCTTTTCATCGTTCAGAAGTTGTCCATTTTAATAATAGCGAACCAGTAATAAATAAAACAGACGACAATACCGATGTTAAATGTTTGAGATCAGCTTCTGAGCATTCTTTATCTACTCCAGCAGTACGAACTCTAGTCAGATTACTGGAAAGAAATCACCATAGCCACAAAAAGGATATTCGAAAATCTAAAAAATATTAAAACAAATATATTTTATAACTTATCTTACTTGAGTATTCATCAATCTATCATTTTAAATGTATGATTTAAATAATACATTTGTTTTTGTTAAAATACGATTGTGTTTTTCATAAATATACTGTTTTAACTTAATTATTGAATTAAGCTCAATTATTGAAAACACAATGTTTCTAACACTTATCTCAAATTTATCAGTAACTATGTATTTATATATATATATATATAGATACATATATATATATATATATATATATATATATATTGATTGTTTCTTTTCCGAACAGTAAATCCAATAATAAAAAACAATTTGTTTTTTGAAGATGTTTAATACGACGTTTCGGAACTAGGTACGTTCCATCATCAGGTTTATTCTGTAATAATTTATATATCCATATCACTAATATTTTTTTGTTAAAAACACTCGATTTTTTTGGAAGATATTTGTAGATGTTACGACTACACAAGACTTAAACACACTGAGTTTAAGTGTGTTTAAGTCTTGTGTAGTCGTAACATCTACAAATATCTTCCAAAAAAATCGAGTGTTTTTAACAAAAAAATATAGTGATATGGATATATAAATTATTACAGAATAAACCTGATGATGGAACGTACCTAGTTCCGAAACGTCGTATTAAACATCTTCAAAAAACAAATTGTTTTTTATTATTGGATTTACTGTTCGGAAAAGAAACAATCAATATATTGAAAAAATCCAGGACTTATCTATTGAATATATATATATATATATAAAGCGAGAGGTTTTTCTTCAGATGGTGAAATAATATAATAAAATTGTTTCTTGGGCATCCATCCAGTAATTAAAAAACAGTTTTAATGAAAAATGTTTTTATTTATAGAGAACATACGTTTCGGGTCTGGATTTGACCCATCTTCAGTGCTACAATTAAATAATTCAGGGTTACAAATTAAAAACAATATAAAAAAATACATAATTAACAGACAAAAATAAGTAAAACAGTGTATATGAAAAGTATATATGAAAAACAACCATAAAATAAACAATGTAAAGAAACTCACCATACAAATAAACTTTGAAAAACAACACAAAAACACAAAATTGCACGAAAAATAAATAAATAAAAGTGAAATAAAAAATTGATGAAACCTCGAGTTATGAAAATTTTTTCCAAACTTCCAAACTTCCAAACTAACAACATGTTCGTTTGGAATAAGCTTTTTTATAATAAAATATATCATTCATTTTAATTTTACAATTTTTTTAAAAAATTTTCATAACTCGAGGTTTCATCAATTTTTTATTTCACTTTTATTTATTTATTTTTCGTGCAATTTTGTGTTTTTGTGTTGTTTTTCAAAGTTTATTTGTATGGTGAGTTTCTTTACATTGTTTATTTTATGGTTGTTTTCATATATACTTTTCATATACACTGTTTTACTTATTTTGTCTGTTAATTATGTATTTTTTTATATTGTTTTTAATTTGTAACCCTGAATTATTTAATTGTAGCACTGAAGATGGGTCAAATCCAGACCCGAAACGTATGTTCTCTATAAATAAAAACATTTTTCATTAAAACTGTTTTTTAATTACTGGATGGATGCCCAAGAAACAATTTTATTATATATATATATATATATATATATATATATATATTATACATATTTAAAATAAATATTTATTTTTGATCTATATTGGCAACTTTATTCAATTCTTTTATAATATATATGCATGTAAATATTATTCCTATATGATTAATCAAATAATTATTTTAAATTAGTTTGAATTTTATGTTAAACTATCATTTACCTATTAATTTCCTATACGTCTTGAATTTCATCAAATTTATAAACAAACTTTGATAGTCAATATTATTAATAGGGTAAGTTATAGTAATTGCAAAAAAATCTAAAATGAAAATTTTTATATATCTTTACGTTTCCAAGGTTTCTGAATATTTTGGCATACTTAACACTATTCCTACCGGGACCGGTCAAATGACCGTTTTTGATTTTTCGATTAGTATTTTTCATATCAAACGTAATTGAATCGTCATCAAACTTTATGACTTTTCCTAATATGTGAGTATAAAACATTTTTCAATGTTAATTTGTTTTTTCAATTTTTATTTTTGGAAAAAAAATTGTATGCTGTCTTACCTACCGCGACCGGTCATTTGACCGGTAGTACGAAAGACGATGTTCGGATGGGATTTTTTGTAGTAATTGTTAAGAATATTTTGGAACTTACAAGAAAATGTAAATTCAGAAGAATTTAGACTGGTAAAAACTGCCTTCTGCAAATTTATATGCATTTTTTTCGATTCTGTATGCGCGGTGCGCAAATAAGGCAAGTAGTATAAATATTGCATTTCTACGGTATAAAAAGTGGGATTTCTCAATTTTCTCAATGTCTATGTATAGACAGATTTTACGAAGGAATCTAAACAATAAATCGATAGGTTTTGTTTTGAATCCAAAGGTTGGTTCAACTACATTGACAGCAATCAAAATTGTTGTAAAAGACTACGTATTACTATCGACAAACATATATTTTCAATAAAGGTAAGGTGTAAATTCATTCAACATATGTTCAATAGTATTTAGGAAAACGTATAAATATTAGTAACTGTTCAATATACGATGTAAATATAATTATGCCCTGCAAATCGCACAAATGGGGTGTAAAATTTTGGTAACCATCCAGTATACGTAGCAAACTGAGATATTCTTTGAAGATTTATAACTGATGAAACCGTATTATCAAAATCGCTAGTACGACATAAAAAATATATAACGTTTTTACCATCCTACATATAGCTAAACTTTTAGTAAAAGAAAACTGATGGTAGGTACAATTGAAGCAATATAACAGCTATAAATACTGGCAGAACGAAAAATCAAAGATTTCAATACTCAAATAATATTTACAATTTTGGAAGATAAGAAAGAAGATTCTAATTTTCACTTACATACACATATGTTGAAAAAATTACACTAATACGGGAGTTAATTCTATTGGTATTAGCGTCGGGACTGGTGTAGATGCCATTCATAAAATAGTCAGAAATTATTTGGTAAAATATGAATTTTAGAGAGAATTCATCAAGAATTTACATTATTTTGCATGTATTCAGGATAAATCCATTGTTGTTACATAAAGAAATTACGAGAAGACAATGTACAAGGCAGGAACTTTCTATTCCAATTAACTTGTCGTATAGTTCCAACAAGAATTCAGAAAAAAATCAGCTAAGTACAAGTACAAAACAGATTCCCTAAAAGAAACTATTCCAGATAATGCTTTAGAAAAATGATAGAGAAAACAAAATCAGCCAAAAACGTAAAAAATGCGTGTGCAGAAAATACACTCTAAGAAAAAAAAATCGTGAAAAATTGGATAAAACAGTATAAAATGTAGAATTCGCATTATAAAATAAGAAATATATTGTATTTGTATTTATAAACTCTTAAACAAGCATTAACTCTTCATTCAATACTGAAAAATACCGATTTTGCATGACCGGTCATTTGACCGGTCGCGGTAGGAATAGCAAACATGAAATGTCGGTAGGAATAGTGTTAAAAAAAAATTGATGTATGTGTGTATGTGTGTGTGTGTGCGGATACAAATTTTCGTCGACTATTTCGGGAACACCGATCAACCGATTTGACTAATTCTAAAAACATTCTATTCGTATTGATGTGGAGACGCACTGACAGTGCCGGCTTTAGGGTAGGGCGAGGTGGGCGACCGCCCTGGGCGCCGGCAAAAAGGGGCGCTGCAGGCGCCCCCCGGCTTATGCTCATAGTTCGAGGTCTGCTTAGTCGTCTCGTAAATTCCCTAAATTAAGCGTTTTTTTTTGTCTATTGTCAAAACACATTGTCCTTTTAACGTTTTGGTAAAAAAAAGCAAGCGTTATTGTAGCGAAGCGTAATAAACTCAGCTCATTCGCATGGGATAGCGAACTTGGCCACTTGGCCAGTCACTCGAAATGGCAAAATCATTGATCACATAATTACTAGTGGCCCAGTGCAAACTCGCATTGATAATTATCCGAAGAATGATGCAGGCCGACATTTCTCTAATTCTCATTTCACAAAAATTCTTACAAACAATGAAACAATTCAGCGCCGTTGGTTAATTTACTCCGTTTCTAAGGATCGAGTTTATTGTTTTTGTTGTAGACTATTTGAAAGTAGCTCAACGTCGAACTTAGTATCTCAAGGGTATAACAACTGGAAATACTTGTCTGAAATATTAAAAAATCATGAAAATAGCACTTTTCATAAGAAGTTTTACTTTTTCATGGATTGAAGCTGAACTACGATTAAAAATAGAAAAAACGATGGAATAATGTTTTGTCTAGATTGATGCATATCACACTTTATTTAGCCGAAAACAATATGACGTTCAGAGGCACTTCTGACAAACTATATACGCCAAATAACGGAAAGTTATTAGGCTTTGTACAAATACTAGCCAAATTTCATCTAGTCATGCAGGAGCACTTGCGATTAGCTATGAAGGGTGATATTTCAGACCACTCAGCTTCTGTTCATCGATGGAAAATTCTAACCGATCACTTGAGACTATATACTATAAAAAAGCACAGTGACACTCGTTGGGAAGCAAGAATAAGTAGTGTTACAGTAGTCCGTTATCAAATTAGTACTATCCATGATGCTTTGATTACTTTGGCTCTTGAAACTCAGAAAACTGATGTTCAAATGTCTCATGAAGCTACTACTCTAGCCGAACAACTAAAAGATTTCAGCTTCATAGTTTCATTCGTTGTTTGGTATGACATACTTCATCAAATAAATGTTGTAAGTAAATCTCCACAGTCAACAGATATGGATCTTGGTAAATGTACACAAATGTTGAAAAAATGCGGCAATTTTTTGAAGGACTACAGATATACGGGCTTTAAAAGCGCTATTTTAACTGCGAAGGAGTTGGCTGAAGAACTAGAAATTGAGCGTCAAGCTGGTGAAATTGCACGCGATGACCCTATAACTTCTCCAGAAAAAAAATTTGAGGTTGAATTTTTCAACTGTCTTTTGGACAACATTAATTTCAATCAATGAAAGGTTCGAACAGTTAAATGAGTACTCGGAATATTGGTCTTTTTTGTACAATATTAAACAGATTCCAGGAAAACGCGACCTTCTCAAGCTCTGTAGTGATCTCCAATTAAAATTAACTGTAGACTCTAAATCAGACATAGATGGTTGTATGTTATGTGATGAACTTATAAGTCTGGCATCCCACCTGATAAAAATGTGGTTACTCCCATTTTTGTTATAAATTTTATCAACGATTTCAACTTACAAGAACTGTATCCAAATGTATAGATATCATTGCGAATTTTATTAACTATACCTGTAACGGTTGCTAGTGGGGAGCTTTTCAAAGCTGAAGCTAATAAAAACCTATCTTCGATCAGCGATTTCGCAATCTAGATTGACAAACTTAGCAACTGTGTCAATTGAGAACGAAATTGCTGAAAACATCGACTTCGACAACCTTATAAAAGAGTTTGCTGATAGAAAGGCCAGAAAAGTAAAATTCTATTAGTGGTTCTATTAATGGTTATCTTTTATAATATTTTTTTTTTAATAAACGGTTATTTCATTAGATGTTTTTCTTTTTTCCAAATGGGTTTGAATTGCAGGTGAAGGGCGCCGTAGAAATATCGCCCAGGGCGCTGGTAGTGTTAAAGCCGGCCCTGCGCACTGATTTGTTTTTGGTATAGGCAGGTCCAGCTGCAAAAGTGCAGAAATTCCGATTAGATCCTACACATCCGCTCATAGTGTTGTGCGTAGTAGATACGAAAGTGAAAACTGATCGGGTTCGAATCCTACGTCTGTAATATTTAAAAAAAAATTAATACTTTTTATGTTTGTATAGTTGATACTAAATGAACTATTTAAAATTGTTAACTCAATGCATTTCGCGAACAAAAAATGGATGTATTTGAAATTGAATATGTTCATTCTAACAATAAGTCCGCTTAATTAGATTTTTCTTATATATATATATATATATATATATATATATATATATATATATATATATATATATATATATATATCATTCAAACATATAAAACAACGTCTAATGTAATAAGTTTTTACATTTTGTCTATAAGTAACAAATAATGAAAATTCTAGTTTTTATAATATTTATTCATAAACATTTTTGTTGACTGATTATTTTTATGCTTCGAATATTTAATTACGGTACGGAAAATTCCAGCAATTTGCCTTAAGGCACGATGCTATGCGCCCCACTAGTTCAAATTTAAAAATACAAAATCATGAATTATTGAAATTTGATTGCACAATAGTACTTATAAAGTATAGTAGAAGGAGATTGCATCTTGATGTAGAAAAAGATTTTTTAAATTTTTATTTCCAACTTAATCTGCTTAATTTTTCTTGTATTTGGTGTATTTTTTTTTGATAAAACTTAAATAACACTGTAAATCCTTTGGCAACTAAATCCAATGACTATCTTAGTACTTGACTATTGGTTGACTAAAGTTTAATTGATTTAGAATGTAAAACACTAATGACGTTTTCAAACTCAAACACTATTAACGTTATTAACTTCCCGTAGGGTAAGTTATTGTAATGGGCCGAAAATCGAAATTGAAAATTTTAACATTTCTCGACTTTTTGAAGGTTTCTGAACATTTTGGCATACCTCAGAAAAAATGGAGGTGTATGTGTGTGTGTATGTATGTATGGATACAAATTTCCAGTCACGTTTTCGGGCACACGGATCAACCGATTTGAATGATTCAAAAAACATTAGATTCCTATTGAGAGATCGGAGCATCCGATTTGAATGATCTAAAAAACATTTAATTAGTAATGATTGGAAGAAGTGTTTATTAGTTTTTGGCAAAAGCAGGGCCAACCATTTCGAAGATACGTAAAAAATGGCAGTTTTTGAGAGAACTAAGCGTCCGATTTAAATGATTCAAAGAACTTTCTGCATGTCTTAACAAAATAAATGATTTTTGAACAAAAAAATTTTGTTTCAACTTTGTTTTTTTTTTCAAAATTTTTTTTTTTTTGTTTATCGAAATTAATTCAAATTTTATTTTTAATTCTGACTATAGTTCTAAAACAAATAATTTCAACTTTGCAATTCAGTTTATATAATTCTTATAAATATTAGACAATGTTACAATATTAATAACAATCTATTTGAAAACATTTAGTATTCCTCGAACATTTTGTTACGGTACGGGAAGTTCCAGCAATTTGCCTTAAGGCACTATTCCATACACAGTTAAAATTTATTATGCGTCAGACTGTCGGTCTCAATATATGCAAGGAAAATTCTTTTCGTATTGCAGTAGGGAAATTCCTAATAATGATAATTTTGTTTTTCGCAGGAACATCTTTCTGATTCTAACGAATCAGGCGGTTATGATTTTTCAATGAAGAAAAGACCAAAAAAGCGCTGTAAACAGGATGATCAAATATCTATGTCATGTGCATCTATTAAGCCATGTAGTACAAGAAGTTTTAATAAACCAAGAAGTTGCAGCAAATCTACAAGCCCAAGAAAAGCCAGAAAGCACGATATAGGTATATTTGCTTTAATTTATTTCATTTTTAATTAACGCTTATTAATTTCAAATATTTTTAAGCTTGTGATTCCTATAACTGCAGCCCAGAGACAGTAAATGTAAGTTTTTATCATATCTGTCTTCACTCTGACTATTTATTAATTTTTAATGTGATTATAGAAACGCTGTGGTTCTGTTCATAATGATGATTCTTCGTCAAGTACAAATTTTGTATACTGCAATGAATTGCAACAATTAAGGTGAGATTAAGATATGCAATTTAAACCGAATTAAATCGACACTTAAAAAAATGAACTAATAATTAAATTTTGTTATTCAATCGTATTCATCTTACAATTTCTTTAATTACTCTTAATATAGTATGTGTAGCCCACATCATATCTTGGTTGTTTTATTAACTTGCCCTAGGGTAATTTATAGTAATCGCAAATAAATTGAAAATGAAAATGTTCATATATCTTTACATTCCAAAGGATTTTGAACGGTTTCGCATACTTAAAAAAAAATGATGTATTTGTGTGTATGTATGTATACTAATTTTTGACGACGATTTCGTGAACACGGATCAACCGATTCCAATAATTGAAAACACATTCGATTTGTATTGATGGGGACTTGCTGATTAGTCTTTGGCAATGCAGGTTCAGCCATTTCGAAGATATTCGTTTTTGAGATAACGTGGTGACCGATTTCAATGATTCAAAAAACATTTTATTTGTATTAATAAAATTAAGAACTGATCAATTTTTTGAGAAAGCAAGTCTAGCGGTTTCAGAAAATCAATGAAAAAAGCTAAAAATAATATTTAACGGAAAAAATTATAATTAGGCACATGCACATTAAATTTTCAAATATTTCATAGAGATTTTAATAATAAGTACAAAATTTGCAGCGCGATTGCTTTGCAAAAAAGTTCAAAATTTTCAAAAAAATTTGAAATATAAAAAAATATTTCAATTGAAAAAAAATCAATTATTTCTTAAAATTCTAAATTCTTAAAAATCAAATTCTTTTGTGCAAAATTAAATTTTGGTACGTTCCAGCAATTTTCCTTATGGCACGATGCATAATTGGCCGCATTAATTTAAATCGTAGTGATAATTGATTAAATTGTTAATAATAATTAATTATTAACTCTAAACAACTAAATATTTGCTGCGTCACTCACTGATCACTCATCAGAAAATATATCAGTGAATATATTTCAAATTTGCACAAACTTATTCTTTTTAAATTTGACTATTCGGAGAGAGAAATAAGAATCATATTGTACCCATCATATAATTCAATCTTTAAAGAACTGTGTAACAAATTGGAGCAAATGTAAAGAAAATTGAAATTTATACTTGTAGTTATTATTTACATTTATTTACATTTACTTACTTAATAAATTTACATTTATTTTTTATATTAAAATTATGTATAATATTATTTACGACTAAACTTAAACATTTGGTATGAGATAAAATTGCCATAAATGTGTATAAACAAGAAATGAATTTCCATGAATAAATTGTTTCTTGCAGAAACATATCAAGAGATGAGCAAGATGCCTTTGAAAATTTTTGGCGAGATCTAACAGAAATTGTACATGATCTTCAACAAAATGAAGATGCTGTATGGAAGCAAATTACAGCTGTAAAAGATCAACAAGAGGATTTACATGAAACATGTAACAAATTAGGAAAAGCATGTGTTAATACTGTATGTACTTAATATATGCAGATATATATGCATATTTTACACTCTGTATAATTTATTTTAATAGGAATGTGTTGTGGCCGATGCTGAATTATTAATCAAAGAAAGCGTTAAATGCATCAAGGATATTCGCGAAGAATTCTCTAAAACACAAGAACATATGAGAAAAGCTCTTGAAAATTTATCCACAGGCGTAATTGATGTAAGAATTTTTATTTTATATACCTCTTTTAATTTCGAAAGTAAAATATATAAGTTATTATAAGTATTATAGTTAATAAGTATGATTATTGTTGGATAAATTCGAAATATTTATTATTATTATTAGTATTTATTTTAACTACTATATTTTGTTTATTATTAAAGGCCAATGAGATAAGCCAGAAGTTATATTTACTTCTATCATTTTAGTTATTTGCATTTGCATTTAAATTGGAGAGTCACTCATGTTTTATTTTCAAGTTTCAATGTTCAATGTTGAAAAATTCTAATTTTCAATGTTGAAAATTTCAACATATGTATTTATGTAAGTTTCACAGTTCGATCATTTCCAAACTCCAACAAACTTGGTAACATTACCATTCTGACACTCTGCAATGATACTCTTGGAATTATGAGGTTGTTATATTTATTTTTTTTAGAATTCCACGACTCAACGTGTAAATTTTACTTTAAAAGCGATGAAAGTAGAAGATGTCTTTAACAAATTATATGTGCATTTAGATAGCTTTGTAAAAAACTTGCACAAAATAAGAACAAACTTAGTAAATGCACAAGTGAAGATTTTAGAAAAAAAATCTGGAAATGCCATCAATATTATAAATTGTCTGAATGATGATACAGTGAAATATGTAAGCCATAATAAATTAACATGAATACTTAACATTAGAGATTTTAAATACTTATATGCGGTTTCAAAACTTTTTAGATAAAAAATAGAAATCTAGCAATGAAGAAATTGAAGAATATGAAAAATGATGTAAACAAATTGCATGACTACCTTCAAGAATGTGATATAGAGAAAGAACACTTAATAGATTCAATCATGGACATATCTAGGGATTCGATATGTGTTCAAACGGATAATGTATAAAATATTATATACATATATCCATGCAAGTTTTTTATACTTATTTCTATTTCAGAAAACGGCTCTAAATACGGTAGACTTTTCTTCCCAAGAAACGGTTACATTTATGCCAGCTGCACATTCTTCTTTTACAGACGAATATAAGCCTAGAAATCTTGACACAAAATCGGATGATAAAAAAATTATTACACTTCACATGGCTTCAAATTTGGAAGGAAAAAACAGGATCATGTCCGAAGTAAAAAAATTGTCGCTTGTTAAAAAGTCTTTAGAAAATTTAATTGTTAATTTGAGTGAATCAACTGATAGTGCTACTGATGATCTAAATGAGATTAAATATCTAAATGATGCTTATGGCGTTGATAAATTTCTCCATCAAGTAACTAAATATCACGAACTGTTTTCTAAAATTATAGATCAACTAAACAAAGGTGACCACCATAATCTTTCCGATGTAAAAGTAGATCTTCTTCCTGATTTAAAAATATATCCTCTTTCTGATAAAAAAGCAGATCCTCTTTTTGATACAAAAGTAGACAACACGCCAATATTATACAAATACCCAGTCACTAAAAACTCTGTTGAGCTCCAAAATACGAATAGTTTCGATAAATTATTAACCGTAAACAACAATTTAGAAAGACTAGTGTCTAATTTACAATACGAATTGAAAGCGTTAGGTAGAATTTCTAGAGGTACAGGGCAAGATCTTATTAACCAATGTGATGCAGAATCACGAATTCTTGATCAAGAGGAAATGTGTCTGCGCGATATCGACAAATATTATGAACAGTTGTCTCGTATGATATCACATGTTTCGTCAAAGTATGATAGAAGCCAGAGTGACGGAATGAATCAATATTTCATAAGTCCTGCTAATAAGGAATACTTAGAAGCAAGCTTAGAGGATTTAAAAACTCAAACTAAAAATCTTCAATTTGTAATGACAACTCTTCTAGACCAAACGACAAAATCGCAGTTGGATCTAAGACGATGGCAAAATTTCGATATGAATGACATCAATACCTATAAGAAAGAATTTGACCGACGACAAGAGACGATTCGCGATAAAATGAAAAGCTTACTTGAGTTAGAAAAAGTTTTAGAAATTATCACCGCGACGGTTTCTGGTATGAAAATAAATTTATTTGATTCTTACGCAAAAGGCAAATCGCCAGGTAAATTTGTCATGGGAGAATCGTTGAAAGAGAATATATTCAACAAAGTAGATTTGCTAGAAAGAAATAAAGATCAAGCTTTAGTAATAGTGTACAAGTTGAAAGGAAATATTGAAAACTTGGGGTTAGAAATACAGTTAATGGAAAAAGATAGTACAGATGGCATTGCCAACTTGGAAAATTTATTTACACGATCTGTAAAGGGACACGGCGAAAGGAAGGATGTTGTTTTCGAGTTACTTGAATCTACGGATGAGATAGATCGAGCTGTATCCGAATTAGATAAAATCGTGGGTAATACAATTACTAATGAAAATGAAATTGAAAAAATACACAATCCAAAAGAAACATTAATGTTGCAACAATCAGAAATGGAGATGCAACGGCTTCGAGGCCTTAAAAAGGAACTGAAGAGTAAATTTAAAACAATGAAAGACGAATTAAAATCATTTAATCTATTATTAACTGATATTATCACTTTATCAGATGATAGAAATAATGGTAAAATACAAGATTTTAGGCATGCTGCCAACAAGCATAAAGAATTTATCGACAGTATTCCTAGTATTACCAGTGAAATTCGACAGACTATTAATCGTTTGAAAGATATCTGGCAAGAATTCGCCCTTCTATCAAGCGTTCCAAATACGATGTCAGGAAACAGCTGGCTATATTTAGAACAGAATGATATGGCTAAAAAAATTGAAGAATTGGAAAAAAATAAATTTGAACTGGAAAGTACAATCAATGATTTGAGATCAGAAATTTTACACACTAAGGTAATACAAACGCTAATATTGTATATTATTAACTGTATTGAATAATTTGAAGAGGCAAAAAAATTATCTTAATATTCTTTACAATATTCCCTGCATTATACGATTCTTATGTTTTATTCAGGAGGACTTTGGAAGTGAAATGCTTATTAAAGATCACCATTTAGGCAGACTAGAAGATGAAATCAGAAACAGTAAAAACGACATAACTGCTAAGGAAGAAACAATTAAAACGCTAGAGCTCCAACTCAAAGAGATGGAACAAGATTTAGCATCTTTAAAAATCAATTTAAGAGAATCTCAGTCGCAAGTGAATGAGGCAAAACTCTTGAATGACCAAATAAAAGGTAATAAAATAACTAAATAATAAAATACAGCAATAGATTAATTGATCAATTTTGATCTTTTATTTCTGATTAAATGTTAAAGGTGAACTAGAAAATAAAACCCATATAGAGAAAAAAGTGAAAGACCTCCAGAAGCAGAAGAAAGATCTTGAAAATACAGTCAAGGTATAATTATACTTAATTCGGGTCATCTGTGTTTTAATTATTCAATTCATTTCAGGAATTGAAATTTAAGTTATCAGAATCAGATAGTAGTTTGTCTGAAATGCATCAAAAACAAAAAAGTGAACAAGAAAATTATAAACAGCATTTGGAATCGGAACGTAGGGCTAATGAAGAGAAACAAGAAAGGATAAAAAGACTTGAAAAGCAATTAGACCAACTAAATAATCAAATGAGTTCATTAAATAATGATTTAGCTAATAATCAAGCTCGTTTAGATCAAACTCAAGGGTTGTATTCACAAATTGAGCAAGAGCGTACCTTCAAAAATAAATTACGTGATGAAGTTGAACTTCTCCGAGGACAAAAATCGGACTTAGGTTTGATTATAGCAAGTTTAAAAGAAAATTTGACGGATTCACAAAAGATACTGAAAGAATCAGAGAAACGACATGATGAGGAAAGAAGGAACTATTTAAATAGATTAGATGAAGATAAAAAATTATTGTCTTCCAAGCAGCATGCTTTGACAAATTTGCAAGATGAATTATCAACAATTGATACAACTATATCATCCATAAATAACGATTTGGGAAAATTTTCTTTTCCAGAATCGTCGGAAAAAGAAATTTTAACGACAACATTTGATGACAAATCGTTATATGAAGATACAAATTTTATTATGTCCAGTAATTTGCAGAAAAATGGTCAAATGCTTAAATCTAACGTGACAAATATTATTAATGAATATGAAAGAACTAAAACTGCTTTACAAGCAACTATACAGGATTTTAATAAACAAAAGCAACACCTTCAACTAGCTATCGATTCAACTATTGAAAAGGTAAAAAGAAAGGATAAAAAAATTCAAGAGCTACAACTAAAAATTAAGGATATGTCTTCTACAATAACGAATTTAGAAAACGATGTCAAGATGCTACAGTTCTCGATTCCGGAAAATACTAGGATCATTAAGGAAGAGGATCAAGCAAAATTGATGCATTTTCTTGATATGTTAAATAATAAATTGTGTGCAGTAACAACAACAGTGGGTCACATGAAGCATTTAATTTTTAACACCCACACTAACTTAGATAATGTTGAATGCGACGAACATAACAAGCAAAACGAAAAATTACATGAAATAAATAATGAAGACTGTTCATGCGGTTGTTTGACCAAAAACGAGTTTTCAAAGGACCAGCGGGTTGATGTGCTTGATAAGCTTAAAATTTTAGCAGCCGAACTGGTTCAAATTTATAATAATATGACTAAGTTAACTGGAAAGCTCAAAAAAGATAAAGCATCACGTACTACTATAATTAATACAAATTCTGTTCTAGAAGATAGAGTACGTACTCTGAAAAAAGAAAATAGAGATTTGACCGCTTGTCTTTGTAATGCAACTCGTGATTTAAATGAGTACAAAGAAAAGCTATGCGCAGCTGAAATGAAATTTAATGGGGATAAAACAAAATTTAAAGGGCACTGTGATGAATTAGAGTGCAAAATTCTTCTGTCAGAAAAGAAAATGAAAATACTCAAAGAGCAAAACCACGAACTCAAGGTAAGTCATTGTTTTGCATAGCTAACTTACAAACTTTTTTAAATATGTTTATATTGTGTTACTTAGGAAAGTTTGTGCAGAACACAATCTGAAATACAGCAGCTTAATCAAAAGGCTGGTGAGCGATCCAAAAATCTTGCTAAACTAGTACAGATATCTGAGCGAGAAAATTTGTCACTGAAAAGGAAAGTAGAAGAGCTAGAAAAGCAGGTTCTAATTATTAAGAATGTCTGATATTATTATCTATTTTTTTACGTATAACAAATAATTATTTTTCAAGTTAGGTTTATGTTTTATTTTCTCCTGTATTTATTTATTTAAAGGCCATTGAACAGTCAGCCGAAACTGCACCATCAAAAGCATTAGTTGGTGAAGTACGAGAATGTCATCACTTGATTGTTGTTATACAAGCGGCTGCAGAAGATTTAAGATCGAATCTAGAAGATTTGGAAATTGACCTGAATGATAGAGAAATTAAGAACAAGCATATTTCTGCCCTATATCAAACAATACAAAAGTATGTATATTTACTAGAATTAAAATATAGGAATCAAGTAAAAAATGAAAAGAGTATAGAACAGAGAAAAATGAAAAGAATATAGAACGCGCACGCCTCACCGGGGGGCAATCTGAAAATTTTGGCAATTTGAATGTAATGTTGTATAGTACCGGTAAAACTATATACTAGGGTATAACTATGGTGTCCCGGTTTTTAACATTACTTTCCGGATGCCGGAGTTGTTTGTTTCTCCCGGTTTGACTTGACTTTTTGAAAACTTCAGCTTGAATTTGAATTTTTCTCATGCTTATCCGTTTAGAAGAAAGTTCAAAATTTTATGAATTAAATTTAATTTTTTCGAAAAAGTCAAATTGTTTCAAAAATATTAAAATTTTCAAAAATCTATTTTTTTAAATTTCTCAAAAAAATTTAAAGCTTTTTTAAAAATTTTAATTTTCGATACTAAAGTTTCAGCAATTTGACTTAAGGCACGATGCCATGCACCAATATTTAAAAAAATACAATTTATAAACATATTGTATGTAGATCTGTAATTTTTTTTGTATTATATGAACTATAATACTTTCTTATCATTCCATAAGATCGACAGAAGAGATGTACAGTATCATGGACAGCTTTGAAAATGATATCACATCTGGACTAGAACAAGAGCAAATAAAAAATATAAGCGACAGTTCCAGCGACAGTGAAAAATCAGCTAGAATTGAAGCACCTGCCACATGTCTGCAATATTTCTTGGCTGGTTGTGAAGAAACTATGAACAGAATGCAATATATCAATCAGGTTTGATTTTAAAATATCATTTATATTAATTTATTCATTGAATGAATTTAGAACATTAGGAAAAGTATGCTTAAATTAAAAACAATTCGACTATTTTAAATTTGGGAGAGGGGCTAGGGTAGCAATTTAACGTTAAGAACATGTTTAATGTTATGTGTTTTTATGATTGTTTTGTATAGAAGTGTGCCTAAAATGATTCTTAACAATCTAATTGAAATAAACAATATTTTAATAAATTAGACACTTAGAATTAGATAGGAATATGTGGTCAACTATATAGGGTGCATTTTGTGTTATGCGTTTTGATTGGTGCTCATATTTTCTATTTTGGATTAAAAAATATTTAACTTATTGCAGAGATTAAGAGACGAATGTTTACAAGTCAATATAAGCCATTTGTCGAAAATATTAAATAAACTGAAGAAAGATTTGCCAAAGTTGCAAAAATCTTTCCCTCGAGCTCGTGGTGGAGATAATTCAAATGAAGAAAAAAGAGAGTGGTCAAATGGCAATAAAATTTTGAAAACTCTGAACGAACATTTGAAACTGTTTAGAAAAGAAGTGGACTCCAGTGTAAGTTTTCTTTATATATTGTAAAAAAATTGAATATTTAATATAAAAACTAATTTTCTATAATATTAGAAACATCAATTTTCGAATAAAAATGATAGCAAATGTTTAGTAATAAATAAATAAATATTTAAACTCATTTTTTGATAATGGGGTCAACCAACACATAAATTTGTATTGCTCGAAGTAATTACTTACGATTATTAAACTTAATACAAAACATGTATGAAGTTTTGTTTTCATATAATTCATATTTGATTAAAAATTATATTTTCTTCATATATAGATTTCATAAAATATAATTTTAACCCTTTTCTTTAATCATCATATAAATAACCAATATACATATTTTATATTTATATTTACAGGACTTTCCTTATATAGGACTTGAAAATCACAATAATAAATCTTGTTATAATTGTTTTAAAGAATATATATTATTCATTTTACAGGGCAATGATAGAGATGGGGACAGCTCACGTTCCAAATATTTAAATTGCTCTATAAATAAAGCTGAGAAGGAACTAGATTACTCTCTGAATAAATTGCAGGTAAAGTATATTTGTTTTATTAATTTTGATAATAAACTTTTCATTTGAATAATAAACGGCATACTTTTTTAATCTAAATAAATTTTAAGTTCAATTTATAATATTTAGGATAATAATATATATAAATAATTCTACTAATAAAAAATAATTGTACTCGAAAAGTAAACTTCTGTTATTTTTTAGGATCATTTGAGTAAAATATGCGATTGCCAAACTGACGAATTGAGCATTAAATCAAAATATAAAGAACTTGCCAAGTTAATGTTACAAAACAAAAAGGAAAACGCAGATTTGCAGAAATGCAAAAACCAATTAGTAAGTGTTCCAAAAAATAAAATAATGCTAATAATCTAGAAATTCATTACACACATCATTTATTTATTATACACTTATCATTATAATAAAATATGTCTTTTTAATATTTTTATTTTATGAAACCGGTAAAATGTGCATCAAATAACACAAAAATAAAATATGGTTTTTATTGAAATCAAACAATGGCAACCCGGCATAAAGATAAAATTGAAAGCGAAATGACTATTATTTTCGGCTGAATGAGCAAAGCTAATTGCATTATTTTTTATTTCTAATTTTTCAGCTCATGTTAAACTATTTCCAATTTATTTGATTTTATTTATTTTTTTATACAATATACAACGATTCAATTCGACTTTGAGCACTTACATTGTGAAAACCAAACTAATTATATCACAACAAATGACTATACTATCAGACTATGTTCAGTAAAACTCTCAACTAATTTATCATTGTAGAAATATGTTTTTTCTGTTTTTTTTTTTATTTGTAACCTGGTGGTTTTTACTCCAATGGGGGATAAAATAGATCGAATGTCTTACTTTTGACTCTAAAGGGAATGCAAAATGTAAATTTCATAGGCACATTTTCACGAAGATATCACTGTGAATAACCTTAATCTGGCATTTTGTCGAAAATATTCATCAGCAGAGTCGAAATAACTATTTATTTAATTTATCTCTTGTAAAATTGCTATTTAATTCAATTTACTGTTTTATCAATTTTTATTTTTTACTGTTTTACTAGGGAAAAAGTTGAGTTTAAGAAGTTGGTCATTTTTACCGCATTAAGCTTTTGTAAAGGTTGTATAAAAAAACTGTTGAATCTAACTTAAAATTAACAATAAATCTTATAAAACAATTAAATAACGTATACTTAAAAGTTATATTAAGGTTTCGTAAGCTAAACAACGGTGCTCAAAATAAAAACAAATAACAACGCAAGAAAATTTTTTTGTTATGAATTTTTAGGCATTGCTTTTTTGCTTCTGAATCAAGGTGATGGCTATATATACATGTTTTTCCCTTCACTTTCAAGTATTGTTGTTAAAAAAGTTTACTTGTTTTTGAGATATTGGTGGTGGTTCTTCTTATCAGCAACCTTTAAGCTTCGCTCTGCCCTAATTCGTTTCTACATGCTTGAGAGTTCTTTGAAATAATTCCTATTTTGAAAAGATTTCAATGCACTTTAATACAGAACTAGAAAAATGTTTAGGCATTAATTTCTAATAATTTTGTCCTTGTATTGCTTTTAAATTTCTAAAGTTGTCAATTTATTTATTTTTATCTTAATCGATTCTTAGAAAAAAGCAAAGTTTGAACAAAATTCATCCACAAACTTATGCTTTGATGGGTTGGATGCAAGACAATTAAGCCTAGAAGCCCAAGAAATTACCGAAAAATATCAGTGTATTGCAAATGAATTGGAACGATCCAATGTTCGTCGAAAAGAATTGGAAGATGCCAACAATTATATGCAGAGTGAATTAAACAAATTACAGACAGAAGTTGCCGTACTCAGCACCCGCTTGAATACTTCGGTAACATCATTATTCATTATTATAATAATAATATAAATATTGATATTTATATTGAATATTAAAATAATAAATATAAATATTGATTATTATTTTTCTTTTTTATGCAACGAAATAAAAAATCAAAATTTCAAGAAATTAATGTCGTATCTTGTGTCGACTTTTGCTGCGCATCTTCATACTTGTATTTATTTTACAGTATGATATATCAAAATTTTAACATTGGACAACGAGTTACTCTGAAATATTTTTCTGATATTTACAATTTTTCTATGTAATATTAAATAACATTATAATATATTAACAGGAAAATGAAAGATTGTGTGCAAACAAGCGAAAGAAAGATTTGGAAAACCAAGTAAATCGTTTGAAAATTAGTCTGGATCAACATAAACAAAATGCCGAGTGCACCTTTAAAAAACTGCATCGTATGCATGCTATGGTAAATTATCAAAAAAATTCTATATTATTATATTGCAAAAAAAAATTATTTAAACATCATACATATTCTTAAAAATTATTAAACTGTATTTTTGATGACTAATAGGAATATAATGAATTTAGTCAAAATTAATAACTGGGTATATTGTCAACGTTCAATCCTATACCGATTTTGAATATTCAAAAATTATTCGAAAGGTATCAATTGGGAATCGTGCTCAAGAGTTTTGGTAATTTGCCTGGCCAGTTTGTAATTAATTGTTCAAACACATTTCTTTGATGATTGAGTAACTTTGATAAATGTAAACAAACATCCTAAAGTATTATAGACCCTTATTATATACCATAGTATGTTAAACAATTTTATATAAAATGTCAAATGTAACATGCCTCAAAGCAAAATGCCACTTATACCTAGTTATTATTACTTTTTCTGAATGCATCTAAATTTAGCTAATATGTTACTAAATTAAATATTTTAAATACAAAAATTCTTTAATAATAACACAGGTCCACAAAAAAGAATGAAGTAAAACTTTCTCGCTATTGTACGAGATGGCATTTAAGTTAAAAATAAATACATCATATAACAATTTTAAATAATGTTTATTAGTAATATGATAACACTCGTGATGCACACATTTATTAATGTTAACCATTATACATATTTATATAATAATAAATTATAAATTATAAAATTATTATATATAATATTTATAATATTTGCAAACAATAATAAAATTAAAGTCATACTTCAAATGTGACATGATCGGTTTGTCATTGTAATTAACATTTAGAACTTGAACCTTCATTAGAGAAATGAAGTAATTGCTTATTAATAAATTCTATAATATTCGTTCACACAGTGGATTATGTTAAACAAAGCCTAAAGAAATTTTGTTTGCACAATTTCACTCATCATGTAATTGTGTTTGAAGAACTTCATGTAATTAAAATTAACATGCATTCATTGATTGCTTGTATTTTTTTTACTTTTTCGCTAGCGATACAATCTCATTTTTGAGCAGCTGTATTTTCCATTTCAAAAACTTTTACAAAGATTTATAGAAACTACGAATAAAATAGAAATTATTTCAATAAACTTACGTTTCTTACACTTCACAAATATTTCATTTGTTTTATTATTTTCATTATAATTATTTACGGGGGACAGGGTAAAATATTCTTCTGATTCAGGCATTTTTTATTAGATCAAGATTTGTATTACGATGTAACCTTGAAATCTAATGACATCCTGATATAATGCTCCTCGTTGATGTACGCCGATACGCAACCGACGAAAGAAATCTATTCACTCGACACGACGACTAATCACAATCGACCCGTATAAAAATGATTTCATAGAGAGCGAATGACGAACAGAATGGGCGTAACGCACTTCCGTTGCATTTTCACAGATTTATTTCTTAGTCGCGCCTAAAGAAGTTTTACTTCAAAAATAAAAGTTGTCTGTATTGAGTGTGCGGCATATGTTTTCCAATGTAGTTTTTACCGTTGATCACGAATCTAAAGTCAAAATTGAGGCGTCAAATCGCAAAAAAATGGAAAAAATAAAAAAAGACAAAATCTGCGGTCTAATAATTAAAATCATGTGATTTATGTCGTTTTCTGTTCCTTTTTATCTTAAATGACTATTGAGTTTCATTAAATAATTAAGTAATTTATCCTATAAATATAATATATGTTAATTTTATGCATCATCCTATGTTGTATTGTAATAGCTATTAGCTAAGTAACTAACTGCATGCAATATTTAAAAATAAAATGTTAACTATTATTACATTTATTTCATCTTTAAAGTATCAAGAAGCAAATAAAGAAGAGATATCGAATTTGAAGTGCCGATTATTCAATTCGATGCAGGAAAATGAGTCATTATTATCGGCCATCCAGCAGAACGTTAAGCGCGAGATTCCACAACTGAACGAGATGCAAACTCAAGTCGATTATCTTAAATTAGATTTCTCAACAATCTGCCCGAATACAACAACGTACAGATGTTCAACACCAACATCCAACACCATTGGCTCACCCAGAGAATGCAAGAAAATGATTGCTGGTAATATATCGAAAAAATATTTTGAAAATTGTTAACTTGTCCGATTCCATGATGATCTATTATAAATCGTTTGATATGAACAAAAGAAAAAAGTTGCAAAATCTCAATTTTTATTAATTCGATTGTAAGCAATCAGACACTTTTTACTGATATATAAAAGGTTTTGCTTTCGTTAAAAACTTATCGTTTCTTCACAAGCAAAACGTTTTTTGAATCATTCAAATCGGGTGCTTTGTTCTATGAAAAATGGTCATTTTTTACACTGTTAGTTCCTTATCTCTGTAACGGCAGGGCTTGTCTTTGACATAAACTAATAATCACGTCGTCTTATCATTACAAATGGAATGTTTTTTCGAATCGTTCAAATCGGATGTTCTGTTCTCTCAAAAACTTAATTTCCATTTTCTGCACCTTTTGCTGTGCTTTCCCAAAAACTAATCAGCACTAATCCCCATAAGTATTAGGAATCAAATGGTTTTTCATCAATCAAATCGGTTGAGCGGTACTCTCGAAAAGGTTCACGAAAAGTTGTAACCACACAAGAGATAAATTAAATAAAAAGTTATTACAAATCTGCTGGTGAATATTTCTGGCGAAATACCAGATCAAAGATATTATCAGAGGATAAAAAGGACCAGATTACAATTGTTTGAAAAACGGTTAAAAACGCATTTCTACAATAATGAATTAGCTGGAGTTTTACTGAACTTAGTCAGATAGTTATTTGTTTGGTATGTGTTGTTGTGATATAATTAGTTTGTTTTTCACAATATATTGTGCCCCGCCTTACCCGACAGCTTATTTACTTATTTTCGGAAGGCAATTGTATAAATTATTCAGACCAAAAAAATATATGATACCAAACTATTCGTAAATATCTAATACCAAAATTTAATTAAGATATAACTTAGTACATTAATAAAAGGTGAACCACTAGGTTTTCCTTTGCAAAATTCTAAGTCAAACTAATTACTCAATGTCTTTCTATTTAGACAGATTGTAATTTATAAGAAAATTAAAAATAAATTAAATATTCATTGTATCTCAATTAAATTTATGTCATACATAAAGCTGTTGATATTTTTTATCGTTGCTTATTTCTAGAGGTAAACGAAAATTCGGCGGATGCAGCAAAACTCATGAGCGAAGTAAATAAGCTTGTGAAAAACTTAGAGGGACTGAACAATACACTCACGAAGGCGGATACATGTCAACGCATTAAAAATTTAAAACGGAAAAGCCCGGTAAATATAGCATCACATTCTTTGCATACCTATTATTCATCTTCAAATCACACATTTCACTAAACCTTATAGATATAATGTTCAAGTTTTTCTGAATACTTATCATTATTCATGATTTTTTTTTTTTTTTTGAGTACAAACCACTAGTTTTCCAAAAAATTATTTAGTTTAGTTTTTTATTTTTAAATATATTACTTTTTACATTTTGCAGATATGGAATGTCTCCTTCTTCAAAAAACAAACGATTTTTCAAAGATATTTACAGCTTTTAAGTACAATAATAGTAAAAAGATTTTTTTTTTAATTTTATAATAATAATTAAATAGTTATTATAATAAATAAACAGGTTAATTTTTAATAGTTCCTGGAATTATTTGTGAATAAAAATATAGATTTTTATAAAATTGAGGCTTTCAGAAAAGTAAAATAATATTATAAATAAATAAATTAACAATAGAGCAAACATCTATATTTTTTTCAGAATAAAGCTATTGAACATAAAGAAAATTGCACACAAGACGAATCTTGTCAATCAAAAATAGTTCAATTTTGTGATTGCTCACAAATTGCTGTACCTAATGAAAGTGATGAAAGTGACGAGGTAAGTTTTCTTGTATGAATGATTTCTTGATTTCCACACTATTTTCATTCGAACATATATTTTATTTATAGAATTACTATAAGCATTGCCATAAGTCAACGTTAATAAATAATTAAATATGTTTTAACTATATTGTAAAATAAAAACAAACATCATGATTTATTTCATGATAATTAGTTTAGATTATTTGAATTTGCGCCACATAAAATCAGAAATTTTAATAAACATGTTTTGCCATGTCATCACCAATTTAATTTATTATTTTGTGATTAAATTAATTAATTTTGCATATTTTTAACTTTCCGTAGGGTAAGTTATTGCAATCGTCCAAAAATCGAAATTGAAAATTTTTACATTTTTTTCACGTTTTGAAGGTTTCTGAACATTCTGGCATACCTCAGAAAAAATGTGTATGTATGCATGGATACAATTTTTTGTACACGTTTTCGGACGCACGGATCAACCAATTTGAATGGTTCAAAAAAAAATTCGATTCCTATTGATAGGGAGATGTGCTGATTAGTTTTTGGCAAAGGCCGATCCAGCTATTTCGAAGATACGAAGCAAAGAGTGCAGAAAATAAAAATTAAGTTTTTGAGAGAACAGAGCATCCGATTTGAATGCTCTAAAATCAATTCGTAATCACGGGGAGAAGTTTTTGGCAAAGCCGTTTCAGAGATACCGAGCCAAATGTGTAAAAAATTGCAGTTTTTGATAGAACTAAGCAATTTGACGAAACAAATGATTTTGGGGGATTTTTTTTTATTTCTAAAATTTTTTTCTTGAATATTGAAAATGATTCGAATTTTATTTTATTTCTAGCTAAAGTTGTAAGGCTCAATTATATACTTTAAATAAATAATTTCACCTTTGCACTTCAGTTTATACGATTCTTATAAATATTATACAAAACAATTTTAAATTGATGAAATTGATTAATTTTGTTCATTTACTTTTCCATAACCTCATAATAAACTAATTAAAAACATTTAAAAATCCTCGAATTTCGTTACGTTACGGGAAGTCCCAGCAATTTGCCTTAAGGCCACAAGGTCATACACCACTAGTTAGGATTATGAAGGTTTCTCGTATATTTTCTAATTATTAACATAGTACGTTGATGTATGTAATGCTATATTAAATGCATTTTATGTAAAAAAAATCACAATAAAATTATAATGTTACTTTTCTACCTTATATCCATGTGCTATATTTTATTAGAGTGAAGCGTATTGCATTGATATCAGAGAATCAAATTTATCGCAAGAACTATTGGAAGGCACTGTTATTTTGAGCCGTCTGGAAGCCACTTATATGGATTTGGTAAGTGCTTATCTACTACTAATTAGATTTTTAAGAGTTGGGTTTTCTAATGATTGTGTGGCTTTAAATAGAGAATTTATGATATGACTCTATTCTCATGATGATGTTCTATATTTAAAATTTTATGGTCGAGTAACGATATTACAATATCCAGCATACTAACTGAGATATTCGGTCAAGGCAAAACGTCCGATGCGTTTAGTTCGTTTATTTTAAATGCCTAGGAAATATTTAAGAGATTGATTGGATACATATTAGATTAGAATAGTTTGAGTTCGAAGTATGTTATTGTTAACTCGGGTTTATACAAAGATTCAAATTCTAAATATTTAGATTAAGAAAAAATAATAATTGATGTGTAGTTTGTCTTTTTTATAATGCTCATATAACTGTGTTAAAATTACTCAATCATAATGCATTGTTAACCTCCCGAAGGCCAGTAAAACCAATTTGCTAATGTCATGTTTTCTCAAGTCAGTCAAAAACGATTTTTTTATTTTTGTAATTTACAGCAATTAGGACTATTATAAGATCTATAAGTGAAGACCTCTGCTTATTACTAAAAACCACGTTGTTAGTAGGCAATCCATTGATTTTTTTACTCTCTCTGAGATATAGTTCAGTTTTATACTAAAGATTATTAGAATGCAGCTTAATGGTCGTTTTTCTAACTGGGATACTGCAGCAATGCCGGGAAAGGGCTTTTTTTACCTGAATCATGTTACTGTCTACATTCACAATTGAAAATTGTTGACACTACTGCTTGACAACAGACTGCTCGAAGTCGAATAGAACCCGGGACCTCTGATTCAGATTTAGTTGTTACAGCAACTTACCTACGAGCGAGTCCAACAAAAATGAATGAAATGAAAAATCGTTTGGAAAAATGTTTGTGTGTTTTTGTTTTTATATATAGATCGAAAGAAATGCATTACGCATGCTAGGTCTAAATCTTTTGTTTGGGTATGTTGGCTTAATAATAATACCAACTGAAACCTCCGCTATTCTCTTGTGTTTTTTTCAAAAAAGGTTAAACTTTTTTTTTATTTTACGTAGCAAACTAATTACATTCATCTACTTTTACAGATAATCTGATATGACAGCGAGTGAAGAATAGCTATCTTGCAAAAGCATCTTCTGTAATTATAACATTAAATTTTACGTGATTTGATGTAATAAATCATTGCAGTTCCTTCTCTTAAGTCGCTTTGGTGATAAAGGCTTGAGCAGGTCACACGTAGTTGATTTGGATGTCGGCTTAGCCGAGTCTTGTATCTGATGCATAAATGGTTATTTTCTTTATTCACAGTTAGAATACTAAGGTCTTGAAGTATTAGCCAGTTTGGTACATATTTTTGGGCGTTCACGATCCGTTTCAAAATTGTGCTCTGGAACCTTTCTAGAATTTCCATGTTTGATTTACTAGCCGCACCCCATAGTTGTAGACCGTAGGACCATATTAGTTTAATGTTTGTCTTGTATATTAGGAGCTCATTTTCAGACGAAACTTGTAAATTCCAGCCCATTAACCAATTAAGGGGTCGTTCATTAATCACGTGAGGTTTTTAGGGGAAGGGCGGATTTGACAAAAAATTACGAATATCACGTGGGGAGGGAGGGGTATAGTGAGATATCACGTGTATTTATTTTTTAACTGTTTTAAATGTTTTAAAAAAAACAAACATTTTCAAAAAAAATCAAAAATTTTACAGTTTTATCACGTAACTAAAAATACACGTAATGTTTGGTTGGGGAGGGGGGTTCAAAAATCCTTAAAAACTAGCTCACGTGATTAATGGACGCCCTCTAAATTGCTTATGTGTCAGTTCGAGATAAAGGGCTAAATTGATTGCAAAATTTTAGAAGCTATTAGATGAAACTCTATAAAAATTCACGATTTTTTTTTATGCAAAACGATCGGCCGAGTCGTTTCTTTAGAATTAGCTACACCGATTATATAAATTTTGAATTCGTTCGAAAGATATCAGCTGGCAATTCTGCTGAATAGTAATTCTTGAAATAAGTTCTGACGATTTCGATTAAACTTTGAGTAATGATAAATCATGGTTGTCCTAAAATCTTCAGCGAACTTTCTAAAATATTATAACTCTTCGAAAAGTGTTTTGATTATAAAAATTCACCAATGTTTGGAGTAATTGGCTTTGTCACAGTTTTAAAGTCGTCACAATTTTGAAAGTTGCTAAATCCCAATTCTTATCAAGGGTCGATTTCACACGTATTAGGAAGTTTTTGCAACCTAGTCACCAGTCACCTAGCTTTTGATGAATTGAGTATGAACTACTAGTTCTTAAATCGCTCTCAGCATTGTCAACGTTTTCTGTTTTTAGTTCTGTATGACTTATTCTGATAAATCTCATAATCCAATGCTAAAGGAACATAAATCGGGTAATTATTTCTCACATACGAGCGTATCGTTAATTACGGACAGTCTTCGAGACTAATTGCATGGTCGTGTGCATTTTCTGCGGCATCTTTGAAAACACCAATGGGAATGGGCGACTCGTTTCTAGAAATAGATTTAGGACGGTGCGACTCGATGCAATGCGGTGATGATCTAATAATAAACGCGAAATTTCTGAGCACCGTGGTGTCTACTGCGCCACTGTACGACGAATTATTTCATATATATAATAGAGGTAAACAGTGAATGACCTCATGTACATTTTGTAATAATCCTAAATTATTTATGGATTCAAAAAAGAATTAAATAAATACATATTTTTCAAAGAATTTGTACGCACTGGGATGGGAAATCACATGCCTTTGGCGTCGAATGACAAATTAATCATCAGCTTCGTTGAAATTAAATGTGATTTACTATATAACTTAATAATTAAATTTATTTCAAAACAAATCAATTGACATAATTTATTTCGAAATGATTTATTTAAATTATTTGAATTGAAATCGGGAATTTCAATAAATGATTTCAACCATTTTATCATAAATTCGATTTACCATTTCATGATTAAATTAATAAATTGATGTTTTTCTTATTGTAAACTGTCTCGTTATATTTTCTAATTATTAACGTAGTGGTATATATAAACTTTTCATGCACATTTAATTAATTTACATCAAATCTCATTCAAAATATGATCAATTAAAGTTTTCGATCCAGATTCGACATTTTTATGTTGGCATATATTAATTTTAAGGCTCGAATATAAATTACAGTCCGAAATATATTATGATATCTTAAATTTAGTATCAATTTTTCTCATATTTTTTATATTACTTTTCATTTAACTGGCACAAGAATATAATATAATTTAAGATATTTAATTCAAAGAAAAAGTATCAAATTTTTATTCTACACATTTTTGCAATATCAAAATATTACATTAGATCAGATCAGAATATTATACAAGATTGTTTAATATTTCAGAAAACTAAAAATGATTCAGCAAGATAATATAAAGATAATAGTGAAATGTTCTCGACAATGAATCTCCACATATTATTGTCATCGAACTTAATTGACAGATTATATGCACTTAAAATTTGTTTTGATTTTCTTTGCCAAGTATTCAAAATGCAATGTTTTGGCACATGATATATGATAGCAATAGATGTTTACATTTTAAATAAGAAATACCGGAACACAAATTAGAAGAGTCTTATATAATATATTTTAATTTTCGATTAGCTAGAATATTCAGGATTATTATGATTTTATGTATAATAATAATAATTAAATTAAATTAAACTACCACGAGTTCAAATTAATTAATTAACAAACACGTTAATGAAAGCTAGAATCTTACACAATCATATGGTAAACAAATCTGAAAAAAAACGTAAAATCAATCATATATAATGTTGCCATTGACTTTAATAACTTTTATGACAGAATTATTAGTGGTCTGCTAGCTTTGATCACAAGACAATTAAAAGATCAAACAAAAATTGTGCTAAAATATACATAAAACAATGATATATACGTAAAACTAGACTTGAGATAGTGTAGATATTATGTAATTTAGTATATGGCTAATGTACTAGCTTATAAAGCCAATAAATCATATATAAAAAAAAAATTGTGCTTACATCTTTGATAAATTATCCTTAAATCATTCTTAATAACTGATTGCAAAATGTAAAAAATGTAATATTTTGTCGAAAGAAGTCATTTTATTCCTTAAAGTAGTATAAATTATTTTGCACTAGATTACTGGTAAGATTTTACTATTCAGAAATATCATGTTAGTTTCTCATCTTATCATATTGTTATCATAGGGATGGTGTTTTAATGGTAATATTAGCATTTATATTTTATTGTAATTAAATCTAAATTTCAACCAAATTTAACTCATCGATATCAGGAGATAAACGGCAATGTTTCAAAATCTATAAGAAAAGTATTTTATTTCGTTATTGGTTTTTTTAATAGTGAGCTCTGTTTACAGGACCTTAATTAAAAATATAATTTTTAAGTACACGTTAGTTAATTATTTTATAAGTTGTATTGGTAATTTCAAATTTGACTTAACAGTATATAACTGTTATAAAAGCTTAGACATGGGTGGGGTAATAAGGACCAACTAAACATAATAAAAAATAAATAAAATAGAAAATTAAGTTAAAAAGCAAGTTTACAAAAGATAAATTATATAAATATTATTAAATTCTAAATTTGCTGATGAATATTTTTGACGAAATACCTGATCATCTTTGTTATGTTATCTTTGGAAAAAATGTACCCATGAAATTTATATTTTGGATTTGTTAAATAATGTAGCTAATACTTCGCAAAATCTCTTTGAAATCAAAAATAAAACATTGCCCCCTGGCCGTCCTAATTTATCCCATCTTGTGGGCTAAAAAGGATCAGGTGACAAATTTATGAAAAAAAACAAATTGCTTCATAGGTGGGAGTTTTACTGAACATAGTCAGATAGTTGTTTGTTTGATATGTTGATATGTTGTATTTGTCGTCATGTAATTGGTTAGGTTTTCACCATATAAATGCTCAAATTCAAATTGGATCTTTGTACCCCTAACTATACTGATTTAATATAATATTTAAATTAGCTGACTGAAGTGATTCAATAAAAATTCGAAAGAAATATATTATTATATATACTATAATTATTTCTGTATCATTTATGTGTTATTGTCTTTTGAGAAATATATTAGCCTGCTTTTTCCTTACAATTGACCGGCACTGCATCCGCGTATCTCGATAGGAAGCAAAAGCAAGGAAGCCTCAAAGAGGATGCTGACAGTCTGAGTTTAAACTCACATGTAACCGCAGTAAATTACGCTATTAGTGTTTTTCTCATTTTTCATACAAAATAACCTGTAACCGTTACTGTAACCAGTTAAATAAGCTAACATCAAAAAATTTAAAGAGATTTAAAAGTAAATATTTACTCGTTTTCCGTCGTTTGTTTAACTTAGAAAGATGTGTTGAATAATAAACAAGCATTAGTGATTCAAGTTGTTTAAGACCGTGGTGTTTATTTGGAATGATTTGTTTTTATGGGAAATCGTTTAATTGAAAAAACATTTTAAATTGTTTTAACTATATAATTTATTTTTACACGGTTATATTCTAGTTTAATTGGAATAATATGTTTTGATATTTTTAAAAATAATATCATATTATATATTTTAATATGATATAAGCTCAGTGAAACAGATTTAAAACTATATTTTTGTGTGTGATTAAAATGTTATTATCAATCAAATAAGTATATTCAAAGGAATTATAATGGTTGAGAAATCCGAATCGTACGATTCAGCTATAGAGGTAGGTGCAAAAATAGATATAATTCAAATCTCAGCATTGTTACATTAAAGCAAATTAAATTAATTAGTATATCATATTTATAGTAGTAATTTTGTAATTTATATCGATGCATTACCTTGAGCAGAATCATTCTTTTTTACTTATTTTATAAAAAATGTTTTGATTTTTGAAAATGGTTGAACGTTGACATTCTAGCTATATATGCATTATATCGTGTATTTTCATTATTGATTATTAGACATCGTTATAATAAATTCACTGTCTAAACAACTAACTAGTTTAAACATATTTTTTTCATAATTTATTCTAAAACTTGTATCTATAAGTAATTGTAAACCTATAAATCAATAGTAAAGCAGGTTCGAAAATTCCCCAATATTATTAACCCAATTATTAGCAGAAAATATTCAATTGTGTACTAAAAAAAGATACCTTTCATTGGTAAACCTAAAGATGTTCACTCATAGAAGAGAGTTGTTATTAATAAATTGTATTAATATAATTATGAACAGGTATTTAATATATAGATATGCATAATAATTTCACAGATCTTAGATTTTACAATTACTTTACGATTATATTATAAATGAATTAATCGATTGAACCTCAACTATTATTTATTAAAACTTTTGTAATATGATTAAATTTCAACTATTATAAATGCTTGTATCAATAAGCGTAGGGCGTGGCTTAAAGGTCCGCGGGAAAAAAGGTTCATCGATATCTCAAAAAGCAGTAAAATTAAGAATATTGAATGTAGAGAAAAAAGGATGTAAACCAGCCATCAAACTCAAAATGCTCATAAAATTTATATTTGACATTGGTTGAATAATGTAGCTATTATTTCGTAAAATTCCTTCAAAATTATAATAAGACATTGGACTTTTTTACGCTCTGGCTGTCCCAGTTAACCCTACTTATGGCGTAAAAAGGACCAGGTTACAAATTTTACAAGTTTTGAAAAATAGAAAAATAACACATTTCTACGTAATGAATTGACTGTGAATTTTACTGAACATAATCAGATAGTCCACGATGTTTGTTTGATACATGTTTTTGTTGTAACGTAATTAGTTTGGTTTTCACAATATAATTACTTAAAGTTAAATTAGACCTTTATGTCCCGCTTTACCCTAGTCATTGAATTAATATAAAACATAAATAAAATTGGCATAATTAACTAACAAACAAACTCTCTAGTTTTCAAAATTACTTATAAAAACAAACCTTTATTTTCTATGCATATATAAATTTGACTGCAAAAAAATGAGCCAAGATAAATCTATCAATTTGTCTAATAATTATGCTTTTATATTACCTCTTCTAGTAATTTTCTATTACATACCATAAACAGCATTTCTGGTATGTACAAAAGGTGTTTATAATTTAACAATTATTTATATTTTTAACTTCCCGTAGGGCAAGTTATAGTAATCGCAAAAAAATCGAAAATGAAAATTTTTATATATCTTTACGTTTCAAAGGTTTCTGAACATTTTGGCATACCTTAGAAAAAATGGATGTATGTGTGTGTGTGTGTGTGTGTGTGTATGTATGTATGTATGTATGTATGTATGTATGTATGTATGTATGTGCGTGTGTGTATGTATGTGCGGATACAAATTTTCGTCGACGATTTCGGGAACACGGATCAACCGATTTGAATAATTCAAAAAACATTCGATTCGTATTGATAAGGAGACGTGCTGATTAGTTTTTGGCGAAGGCAGGTCTAGCCGTTCCGAAGATACGGGGCAAAAAGTGCCGAAAACGGTAACTCAGTTTTTAAGAGAACGGAGCGTCCGATTTGAATAATTCAAAAAACATTTCACTTGTATTGACAAGGTGAAGAATCGATAAAATTTTCATGAAGGTAGGTCTAGCGGTTTCGGAGATATGGAGGAAAAAGTAAAAAAATGAGCCATTTGGCGGTCAAAAATGATCATTAGACATATGCACATCAAATTATCAGATATTTTATAGAGATTTTAACAATAAGTATACATTTTGTTAACATTTCTATGGGTTCCGTACCAATGCTTATGCGTTAGACAGCGACGCGGCGCTTACGCGCTTTATATTTTGTCCCTATGCAGTTAAAGCAGTACGATTGCTTTCAAAAAAATTTCAGATCTTCTACAATATGTCAAAATACAGAAAAAAAAATTTTTTTTCAAAAAAAAAATGTTTTTTTAAAAAAAAATTTTTTTTTTCAAAGAAAAGTTATTTTTTGTCCAATTTATAGTTTCTCAAAAATCTTATTCTTTCAAAGTAATTTTTTTTCAAAAATATTAATTGTTTTTAAAAAAATAATAATTTTTGGTACGGGAAGTTCCAGCAATTTGCCTTAAGGCACGATGCCTTAATTGCCTTAAGACAGAATTCCACTTACAGCTAGTTTATATTTTTCTTATAGTTGAATCGGACCCAAAGTTCTTCTGATGAAGATATTGAAACACTATGTGATGGCGACTCTGAAGATTTATGTGATATGAAGTGTGGACGATTCTTCGAAAATAAAAAAATGGTATGCTATATAGGGTGTCCCAGAACTTAACGTCAAACTGAAACAAGATGATGGCATTGACCTTAACTGAAATAATTTAGAAATAAAAATTATCTCACGTCGTTTGGAAATTTTGAGCTTTTAAGTACAACCTAAAACTTTGGTGAAATAATAACCATTTTTTGGTTTTTGTGGTTGATGTTTATTATTTTGATTATTTAAACTTTGGAACCGTAACCTTGAATAAAAATTCTGGGATCATTATCAAAAATAATAACACAATTGCACTAAGGTTTTGAGAAATAAGACTTTTTGTTGAACTATGAACTTAATAGTATTAAAAAAGGTAAACTTTGAGAGACCCTCCTTCAAAAAAATGTACAACAGTTAGTGTGTTGGCAAGTCTCATAAAAAGTTAGCGCATTTATTCAGGATTATAAAATATCGGTTCATTTTATTATTGAAAAAGCTAGAGTTAAAAAATAAAAACCTAAAAATAACACTTTGTGAAGCATTTCGCTCACAAATGTTTCTAACTCGGACATTGAATCTAGTGCGTGCAAAATACATTTGAACTGATTGTTACTAAAATGCACTAGTAAAAATCATGTCATTTTTAGCATCTAGGTTCAATAATTTATTTTTGACTGCCGATAGTACATCAATAGTTATTTTAAAGAAACTTATACAGACTTTGGGATGAATTAATTGATTTAAATTAATTTATTATTAAGATTAATTTGAATAAAAATATTGCTTTAACTTTGTTGTTCATGCGCAATTTATTAAGACTCCATAGAATTTTCTTGATTGTTAATGTTTTTGGATCAAAAATTGGATTTTCTACATTTTATTTATATCAAGATGCAAAGGGAATAAATCATTTGATTAATGAAATAATTGGTTTCACCTTTATTACTTTTATACACTTATTATTACTTTTATTTAATTCAATGAAATTTTTTTCATTATATAAAATTTTTTTTGATGATTGGAAGTTTTATAATGTAATTTTTTTCAAGGTGCAAAGGGTTAATCAAGGATATTTTTTATATAAAAAAACAAATTTTAAACTCATCAGTAAAAAAATATCAGATTCAAACAACGAACACAAATCTCTACATTCAGTAAATAATTTTAATTGAATTCTAAATTTACATTAAAAAAAATATATTAAAATTTGCTATAAGTAATAAAGTAAATGCATAAATGCAAGTGTTATCTATGTAAAGAGCAAATATTGTTTATTTTATTCCTGATTTGCAGGCACAACACAAAGAGAAAAATATAACTCTGGAAATGGAAACAGCACAAACGAATTTAGAAGAAATCCAGTTGTTGAAAAAACTATATGAAGATGTTCTAAATGATCGACAGGATCGACAAAATGAGGTCGTTTACATTTCCTGTTTTAATACTTTTAATATGATAGTGCGTTTTGATAAACTATGTATGCCCATAATGTGATATATTTTGCATCGTTATAATGCATGAAAGATATCATATAGGGCAAAATATATCTACTATCTGACTACATTTAATTAAACTCCTTGATAATTCATCAATAAAGAAATGTGTTTTTTGCGATTTTTCAATAACTATTTATTTAATTTATCTCTTATGAACTTGATTTACTTTTTTAATTACTTATTTTTTATTATTTTTACTTTTGCCAATTGATCTCTTTGAACTCCACCCACATGTAAGCTTTTATAAAGGTTATTTAAAAATACTGTTTAATCTAACTTAAAATTAACAATACATCTTATAAAACAATTAAATAACGTATACCTAAAATTATTAATAAAAAATAACGTACCCCAAAAATTATTAATAATTGAGGTCTCGTAAGCTAAACAACAGTGCTCACAACCAAAAAAACTAACAAAGAAAGAAAATACGTTTGTTATAGATTTTCAAGCTGGGCCTTTTATCTCCTAATAGTGAAGATGCTTAAATTGAAGCTAAGGCTAATTACACATATTTTTCCTTCTTTCAAATATTGTTGTTGACAATTTCTTAACTTAACTTAACTTGTTTTTGAGTTATCACTGTCAGTGGTGCATCTTTTTATTCTGCATATATATACATATTTATTAATATCGACTTGATTGATAAATACATCATTCAAAAGCTTTTTTCTTATAATATAAATTAGCTCTAATAGATACATCACTGGGGGTATCTACTAATTTATAATCAACTATTTTACCACATGCTTATCAGCATTTTCTGCTATAAAACAATTAAAAAGCTTTACAAAAAATTATCAAATTTCTATAAATTTTGTAATAAGAAAAAAAAATTTTGATAAAATTGAATTTCATTTTATTATTATATTGCCGAACATCATTTTTACTAACATTCATATACTTTGTCTTTTGAAAGAGTTATCCTTTGTCATAATAGTAAAACCAAAATTGTTAATAAAGTCAAAAATAATAAAACTGTTATTTTAACACAGACAACGTATCATACGGAATTGATTAAAAAGGGAATACATAGCAAAACGAATAATAATAAAGATAAATATTAAAGATTTAATGTTGAATTTATTTATTATTTATTATTATTATGTATCAATATTCATTCAAAGTGATAAATTTCGTAGAAAGGTATTATTGTTTAGAAAGTTTGATATTAAATTGCATCTACTCTGATTATTTTTACAGATAGACAATTTAAAAGGAGCATTAGAGCTTAATAAGGGCACAATTGAACAACTGGAACAAGCAGTGCAGTTTTCTGATAAAATAGCTCAAAAATTTAGAGAACAGGTACATTTGATAATTCAAATACAATTAAATATATGGTTTAAAAACTGTTTAATTTTCAAAACATTTGTTACAGACAGACAATAAACGTTATTTATTGTATTATTATAATTTTTTATAATTCATATTGAAATTTTTATTTTCTAATGCCTGACATAGAATTGTGTGATTTTACGTAATGTATATTGTGTTTATTAAATTAAAAAAATTATTTATTTCATTGCAGTTACAAAAGCAAATTGCATCTACTTTGTGTCTACAGGAGAGTTTGAAAAGCTCTAATTTCGAACTAAATGAATTAAGAGCAAATACAACAAAAGACGCACAAGAAGTAAGTGAAAATGAAAAAAATAAAAAAAATGTTATACAAATTTATTTACAATTTGTTTTAAAAATATTTCATTTTCAGTAATGATATTTATTTGGATTAATTTGCCTTTGTTTTAATTTTTGGAAGTGAACTATATTTATAAAATAATTTACTCAAATAATTAAAAATTTAAGTGTAGTCTTACGTCGAACCTAAATATAATGATGCAAATATCTATGAACAATATAGATTTATTAAAATTCCGGAGTATAATACATAAAAAAAATAAAAAAGTGAACTTTTACCTAAAAGTTCTGTGATGTGCGTATCTTTCGAAATCTTAAATAGCTTTTGAGAAAGCTTTTTTGAAATTTGTCCAGATGCATGGTGTCTGAAGAGTAATAAAATAATTAATTTGCTGGTAACTAAAAACTTTTACATTTATTATGTTTTATAGATTGATAAAAATAGCATATTAGTTAGTCAATTAAAAGCTCAAATATCAGTGTTAGAAGAACAGTTCATGGAGGCTTTCAATGAGGTAAGACATTATTTGTTGCTTCATAAGAATATATTAACAAAATTGAAAACAGTCACAAGTAAAATTGATAATGTTTGTTAATATGTTCTTAATATTCAACAATAACTTGAATTTTCGCTGGAATACATAATAATTACAAATATGATTTTAGAATGTTTCGCAAAGAAGGTATTTAGAACTTTGTCGAGACGCAAATTTAGAACTAAGAAGACAAATAGTAAATTCACAACAAGATGTTGGAATTCTTGAGGCCCAATTACGGAGCTGTCAAGACAGAATAAAGGTGTACGATGTGAGTATTAATTTAATAATTATTTTGGATTATTGCTACTAAACATTACGCACATATATAGAAAAAAAAATCAACATTAATATAGAATGGGCTGGTGGAACATTTTCTAAATTGATTATCGTCTACCCTAGTAGAAACGAATCGTGGCGCAATATTGTACTTTTTATGGGCTCTATATTGTTTACCAATATTGCTATAATATTATTCTGTTAACATTTTCCCATATAAATCCAATATTAAAAACAATATAGGCCCCATACAAAACCAATATTGATAAACAATATTAAAATCCCATTCAAAACTAATATAAGCCCAATATTGAAAACCAATATAAGATTAATATAAATAAACAATATTTACCCTACATAAAAAACCAATATAATCTCAATATAAATAAACAATATTTACCCCAAATTCAAAATTATTATTTAACCCGCATTTAAAAATATTATTTAGTTTATATAGAAAAACAGTATTTAACTCATTGATAATAAAAGTTTATTTATTCTAAATGAATACATACATTTTTAAATAGTTTATGTATTGAATCTTAACAATTTTATTAACAATTTACACATTATTTTATGATAATAAGATATAGAACAATCAAAATATTTTCAGTCATTATAATAATTTGGAGGATCTTAATGGTAAATCATAATCTCATCTTTGTTAATCCTATCGCCTTAATTGTCTATTTATAAGTATTTTAATTAGTGATGGAAATTCTTATATTATTTGGATATCTTCACACATTTTTTAACATTTTCTTGCATTCGATCACGATTACACCTGAAATAAGATAAAATATATTAATATTTTATAGCAATACTTCTGGAATATATTGATTTTATAAACTCATCATAAATTCAATTACTTAGCTTTTAATAAAAAAACATTTCTGGCATTGTAGTTTATTGAAAACAACTATTTTCTAGAACTCGATCACAGTTAAATCTGAAATAATTAAAAATACAGTAAATATAAAATTTTAACATTAATTTAAAACAGTACAGTTATAATTTTAAATTAAAACAAAAAACTGTTGATGGAAATACTAATATCAAATATTCAAAAGCGATAATAAATTATTGAAAAGTCTGCATTTAATAAGTTTGTTAATATTTTTATTACCTTTTATCAAATCCATTTTTGCTATGCGATAGTTTTTATATTACAGCTGATTTTACATCCATTTCAATTTAGTCAATCTAGAATATATAAAATACATTATTGTTTACTAAATATGTATGTTGTTTATATAATATAAGTAATGAATATACTTACGTACCTTAAACATAAAACTCAAAATTATGTTAATTAACCGCTTGATTTTATTTATAAACTGTTCACAAAATATGTTTTTAGCCAATTATCATTTGATATCATAGATCATTTTATTTTTCACTAAATATTCACATTTTTCCAGACTTACTATATATTAGGGATATATTTTAATATTATAATAATTTCTAAATTCAACAAGAATTGCTAAATGCACTGCGTAACGAATTTCATACTATTGAAAAATGCGAGGTTCTGCACTTTGTTCGATGGTGATGCAGTAGACTTAGAGCATTGTTAATCAAAGGGCGGTTCTAACATATTTTCATGTATTTTTATGTTTTTGTATCATTTTATGTTACAAAGTATACGCTCATTAATTTGTCGTTATTAGTTTATTCAGTGTAGTAGTCAGTAAAATATATCCATAACTCCCTTTTCATTCATTTCAATATGAGAGAGTTAGTAAATTGCATAATCAGTGAAACGTTACTTAGAAAATATTCAAAACAAAATTAATAAAATTGCTATTAATTATCAATATATCAAATATGTTTACATTTAGAAAATTTTTAATGTTTATATTTATTATTAATTTTTTTTGCTGAATTATATTAAATAAATTTTATCTTCACAAAACATAATAATATTTCACTTATTTTATTCTACGTTATGGGCTTATGGATTCTTTCCTTCTTCAAGAAGTAACCAACAAGCATTTTTTATAATCACACTATTTACTATGTACACAGTAATAAATTTAAAGAAGACTTCTTTTGCCTTTAAATTAATTTTTTAATTAAACTTTTACTCTTAAATAACATTAATGTAAATAATAAACTGGTATAGTAATATAAATAATAATTGCTATTAAAAATGCAAGAATATATAATTAAAACAAAAGTGCAATGATATAATATTAGTTCATAAAATACGTATAAAATAAGTTCGGCCATAACTGACATATAGTTAGGTAGTCGTCAAGATTCTAGACTCTAGAAACACCGAGGACGAAGGACAACGAATCGTACGAAGGACCGTACACGAAGCGAGATAGCCTTATACAAATATCGGTTATATGAAAGAAAGAAGAGACATTCTCAAAAACCAGATGTTCATACATAGCCATATACATGTTGATAGTGCAATTTCAGAATATTTTTATTCTATAGGAATAAATATAAAACGTCTATATTTATAAATATAAATCGATATATTAACAGATTTTACAGATGATAATAGATTTAAATAATATTAATACATACCAAACAAGAAAAAACAAATTTAAGCAAGTCATGTGACTAACTACAAAATTTCATTATTTAACATTTATTTTATTCGAAGTTTTGATTTTTTTTTTATCAAACATTTTGTTTAATTTTTCTTTCTCAGTGCGGTACATACTGACATTATTTAAGTTTGTTAATTATTCTGGTACTTTTGTACTACTATAATCTTGTATAATTTTTGTTTTGTTTACTGAATGATGACATACTTACAATGTCGTTAAATAATATAGTTAATAAATAAATACAATATAGTTAAATTATTTATTGCTTTTTTAACTTCCCCTAGGATATTTAGGGGAATAAATGAGACTAAAATCGAAAATGAAGATTTTTGCATATCTTCACGTTTAATAATGGATTTAATTAATTTAGCTTTAATAAATTAATTCTGATCAAAAATATGTTTTTTAAGAGTCGCCATTGATGTTTTTGGTGCTAATTGATGATTTAAAATTGATTATTTTCTTGACCAATGTTAATGTTACTTATTTCCCAAGTTCGATAATAAAGAAAAAATAAATGTGAACATAATATTTACAATTTATATTGAATTCATATAAAATTTATATCAAACTGTTAATTGCAATCGAGCTGATCAATGATTAGCTATGTATTAGCTAAGATATTATCAATGAGGTAAATTCTGTTTTTTATATGAATTAAATAATATTTTTAAATGTGGATTAAATAATAATTTTGAATTTCGGGTAAATATTGTTTATTTATATTAATCTTATACTGATTTTCAATATTGAGCTTATATTAGTTTTGAATGGGATTTTAATATTGTTTATTAATATATTATATGGAGCCCATATTGGTTTTAATATTGACACTTACACAAAGGCATTAATGTAAAAAAATGTATCAAACTATTAATTACGATCGAGCATATGACCTTTTAAAAGCTTTAATCGTGTTTTTGGTGATAATCAATTATTTAAAGTTAATTTTTTTCGTAACCCTTATAAAGACCACATATTTCCCAAGTTCAATAATACTGAAGAAACGAATCGTGGTTGCCCAGAAAAAAATGCATAACCCCCACATTTGAAATTTATATTTAATTTATAAGAAAAATGTATCAAACTATTAATTGCGATCGAGCATATGACTTTTTAAAAGCTTTAATCATGATTTTGGTGCTAACTAATTATTTAAAATTAATTTTTTTCGTAACCCTTATAAAGACCACATATTTCCCAAGTTCGATAATACTAAAGAAACGAATCGTGGTTGCCCAGAAAAAAATGCATAATCCCCACATTTAAAATTTATATTGAATTTAAAAGAAATATGTATCAGACTATTAATTGCGATCGAGCATATGTCTTTTTAAAAGCTTTAATCATGATTTTTGTGCTAATTAATTATTTAAAGTTAATTTTTTTCGTGACCCTTATAAATACCATGTATTTCCCAAGTTCGATAATACTGAAGAAACAAATCGTGGTTGCCCAGAAAAAAAATGCATAACCCTCACATTTAAAATTTATATTGAATTTAAAAGAAATATGTATCAAACTATTAATTGCGATCGAGCATATGACTTTTTAAAAGCTTTAATCATGATTTTGGTGCTAATTAATTATTTAAAGTTAATTTTTTTTCGTAACCCTTATAATGACCACATATTTCCCAAGTTCGATAATACTGAAGAAACGAATCGTGGTTGCCCAGAAAAAAAATGCATAACCCCCACATTTGAAATTTATATTTAATTTATAAGAAATATGTATCAAACTATTAATTGCGATTGAGCATATGACTTTTTAAAAGCTTTAATCTTGATTTTGGTGCTAATTAATTATTAAAAGTTAATTTTTTTCGTGACCCTTATAAATACCATGTATTTCCCAAGTTCGATAATACTGGAGAAACGAATCTTGGTCGCCCAGAAAAAAAATGCATGAAACCCACATTTCAAAATTATGTATAATTTGTGTAAATATAAAATTAGAGGCGTAAATCAGATGGGAAACATGTTTATTATTTGTAATAAACCATATAAAACACTTTTCCGATGAATTTTCCAAATTTTCCATAATTTTGAAAACAAATATTGTCCGGTCCATCTAAAGACAAGATTCGAATATTGCGCCACGATATTTTACCCCTCTAGCCACGATACATTTCTACTAGGGTAATTTCACTCTATAAATCATGCTATACTATTTTGACTTAAGATCTTTAATATACATTATTCATACTAATTGGTAGCTTTTTAATTTATTGAGAAGCGGCTATTCTAGAAGGACAATCATTAAATTTATATAAAATATCTGACAATGAATTGATTCGATTACCACATGCCTGGCACAACCGTTTTTCGAACAACTTAATATAGATATAATCTAAAAATATTTATTTAAAATCTTTATTATCTTTCCATCGAACAATTCAATTAAAACATTTTGAGTTTTAATAAGTATATTTTTGAACTTTAGAATATAGATTTAATGAGTAACCTCAAATTATTAACATAACACTTCAATGAAATTTAACTTCTAATGTTTGTTTCATACAAAGTTCATATTATAGAAATCAATCAAAAACTTGAATTGAACAAGTGCTAATGAAAACTTCCGTATTATTGCTATATTACACGTAAGTGTGACCTACTTTTATTTAAGGTGTTGTAGCCTATTCTATGGATATTTTTATTTTGTAAATGTTAGATCTTTCTGCGAATTATAGTTTTAAATTTCAAATTAAATACAGTTTTTGAAAGGAAAAACCTGATGATGGAATGTATCTCATGATGGTAGTTCCGAAAGGTCGTAATTAAACATCTTCAAAAAACAAATTGTTTGTTATTTATTAAATTTATTGTTCGGAAAAGAAACATATATCAATTTATTGAAAAAATCCAGGACTTGTGTATTAAAATATAAATATAAATATATATATATATATATATATATATATATATATAAGAAGAAATGTGCCGGTTTTACCAGCAATTAAAAGTTATTGTAGATTTCATCATTTAGGAATTCATATAGATTTTATTCATTTATATTTTCATATTTATACAGACCGTGCGAATCAATTGGCTAGTAGAGTTATGAAAATTATCAACTTAGGGTGCATTTTTTACAGAGATAACTAAATATCTATATCAAGTGATGAATATTGAATTGATTTTAACAATCCACATTGTATGTTAATAGCATAAAAAATAATAAGTTTGAACCAATATATAAATATAAAAATATTATATTATATTGTGAAACATATTTAATATGCAAATTATACCAATCATATGATTAAATTGATTGATTTTTGAACATCGCTTATTTCTGCCTATTGGCCTATATTTCCAAAGCCTACTACAAGTGGCATTCATATCTAAATTTACAGATACATGTGTATTTTCTAATATAGAGTACTAGGTTGGTGTCTGTTCGAATATATGCAGATAAAATATGTTAGGTGAGAACTATAATCAGACATGCGATATTCAGCTATACATAGAAACAATATTGAGGAATCGGAGAACATCTCAAATATATTTAAATAGATATATACATAGTTTAAATTTCAACCCTTATTTTTGGGTATTTGCACGGGCCATCAGAATTAATTTTAGAGGTGTGGTTTCTTCAGCAAAGCATCTTATTTTGTTCTCTAGTACCAGAAAATTATATGTGCCTAAGCGACTTTTTTGATCCATACAAATCGACCCGCTCTAAGATATGTATATATAGAGTAGGGCGGGGCACAAAGATCCGATTTGACTTTGAGCAATTATATTGTGAAAATCAAATCGCAATTACATCATTTCAAATACCATATATCAAACAAATAACTATCTGACTATATTAGAAAGGAGTAAAACACCCAGCTGATTTATCATTGTAGAAATATGTTTTTTTACCTGATCCTCCTTACCCCATAGGCGGGGTTAAATGACACAGCCAACAGGTAAACAGATCCAATGTCTTATTTTCAATTTTGAAGAAATTTTATGAAATAATAACAAGATTACTAACTTTATTAACTATTAACTATCTATAACCATACTTTTCATACTTTTGTTATACTTTTGTTATAGATTTTTGAAAATTGCCATTTATCTCCTAATAACAAAGTCGTTCATGGTAATGGAAAGTTATACATTTTTTCCCTCTACTTTCAAATATTGTTGTTAAGAAATTCTTAACTTTAATAGTTTTATAGATATCGCTGGTAGACCTTTGTACCCGCGAATCTTCAAGCCCCGCTCTACCCTATATTTATATATATATATATATATATATATATATATATATATATATGTATGTGTGTGTGTTTGGTTTATGTGTTTGCGTGTTTGCGTGTGTAGGTGTAATGTACCTTCATAAAAAGCATGTGTAATTCTCAAACCGATTAAGAATCAATTACTCTTATTCGCTACAATTAAAGCCAATTCAGTAACGTATGTTTTAAGTGCGCCGTATGCCATCATTTAGAATTACATACTTTCCAAATTTACAAATTTATATTTGTAAATATATATTTACCAAAAATTTCTTATTTTCTGTTCTCCGAATCCACCCGAATATGAAGAAAAATAATATAGTATTCTCACTCGATGAAATGTGCGTTATGTACATTCACGTCATTACTTTAAGAAAATTTAATCTGCAAAAAAATTACGACTATTTATCCATTGTTGAACTATAATGAGCTTGTATTTATCATTCAATAGTAATTTATATTTTAATATGCTTTTTGGGTATTGCTTAAACAACAAATTTATTATTGTAATGGTAAATGCATAAAAAATATTTGAAATTTATATTTGCAGTATAAAACTTTGTATATTTTTGAAAATTTTGAAATTTGCTTGAATAGTATAAGTAAACTTTAAAAATTAAAAAATCTTAGTACGGAGCCCATAAAAATTGTAACGAAATTAGTACTATGTCTAATGATCATTTTAAACCGCCAACTATCTTTTTTTTACTTTTTTTTCTGTATCTCCAAAATCGCTAGACCTGCCTTACCAAAAATCATCAATTCTTCATTTTGTCAATACCAGTAAAATGTTTTTTAAATCAGGTACTCCATTCTTTCAAAAACTGAATTACCGTTTTTGGCACTTTTTGCCCTGTATCTTTGAAACGACTGGATCTGTCTTCAGTAGGAATCGAAGGTTTTTGAATCATTCAAATTGGTTGATTTGTGCGCCCGAAATTGTGGACGAAATATTGTATCCAAACACACATATATACACACACATAGATTTTTTCTAAGGTATACCAAAATATTCAGAAACCTGTGAAACGTATAGATATGCAAATATTTTCATTTTCGATTCTTTTGCGATTACTATAACTTACCTACGGAAAGTTAATAATTTAAGTATTACAAATATACTAACAACTAATTGTACATTTATTCAAAAAATACATGTAACTAAGATTTTCTAGTAACAATTATAATATATTTCATATCTTAGCAAAAACGTTCAGAAAGTATAAAAAATTAGGGTAAGACGTAGCCTTGCCAATAATGAAAATAGTTTAAATAGAGTAATTGAAACTAATTCAAAGTAGTTTAGATTAAAAAAGAATTAATCAAGATATGGAAAATAGATTATTAAACTATTTTTTAATTCACTGAGTGAACATTTGCGCTTGAAGTGTCAGAAAATAACTTCGAACGCTATTGTTTTAGGGTAGTATCATACGCGCTGTGAATCGGAAACTTTTTATTATAATAACTCGTCGAGTTATTCAAATAAAATTAAACTAGCTGTAAGTGGAATTCTGTCTTGAGGCAATTATGGCATCGTGCCTTAAGGCAAATTGCTGCAACTTCCCGTACCGTAACGAAATGTTCGAGGAATACTGAATGTTTTCAAATAGATTATTATAAATATTGTAATATTGTCTAATATTATAAGAATTGCAGAGTTGAAATTATTTGTTTAAAGTATATCAGAACTATAGTCAGAATTAAAAATAAAATCTGAAATATTTTGATATACAAAAAAATAAAAAACTAAAAAAAAAAAAAAAAAAAAAAAAAAAAAAAAAAAAAAAAAAAATCGTAAAAATTTTTTTTCCAAAATCCATTATTTTGTTAAGACAAGCAGAAAGTTCTTTGAATCATTTAAATCGGACGCTTAGTTCTCTCAAAAATTGCCATTTTTTACATATTTAGCTCCGTATCTTCAAAATGGCTGGGCCTGCCTTTGCCAAAAACTAATAAACACTTCTCCCAATCATTACTAATTGAACGTTTTTTAGATTATTCAAATCGGATACTCCATTCTCTCAAAAATTCGATTTCTATTTTCTGCACTCTTTGCTCCGTATCTCCGAAACGGCTGGACCTGCCTTCGCCAAAAACTAATCAGCTCTTTTCCCTATCAATAGGAATCGAATGTTTTTTAAACCATTCCAATCGGTTGATCCGTACGCCCGAAAACGTGGACGAAAATTTGTATCCATACATACATACACACACACACACACACACACACACACACACACACACACACATCCATTTTTTCTGAGGTATGCCAAAACGTTCAGAAACCTTCAAAACGTCGAGAAATGTAAAAATTTTCAATTCCGATTTTCGGCCCATTACAATAACTTACCCTACGGGAAGTTAAAATGCATCCGAAACACTTCATCAATAAAATCTATCATAATAAATTAATTACCATTAATTTGAGATAACAAATCACTTAACTATAAAAAATATATATTTTTAAAGTTTATCAAATTGTAACATTTCACTAGAAGACAAATAAAAATGTTTGTGGGTAAAAGTGATAAAAAATATTTAAACAATTGTGTTAAATATGTTAGTAATTTATATTTAATCAAATGACTTATTATCAATTCCAGTATTCTAGTTTTTAAATATTAAGAACTTATAACTTATTTAATTTAAATTATTATAAATTGGTTTGTTTACTATAATTTTAATAAAACCTTGAACTAATTTATTTTGTATTGCAGGTGGTTATAAGGGATTACTATACTCTTAAAATCAAAATATCACAACTCTGGACAGAATTGGATATCATCAAACAGGTTTCAAAAACCATAGAAGTGATGTGCGAGTGTGATTATGAAATATTAAAAATAAAAATGCATGCTCGACTTATTGCAGTTTTTTTAATAATATGTGTGCATAATATTATTCTAAATCATGTGCAATACTACTATAAAATATTGCATGTTAATTTTGACACCGAATACTTTTGTACTTCTTCTTACTTTATTATTTGCGTAATGATTATGATCTGTGTTTTTTTTAATATAATTGATTTAATTTTATCATAATAACATTGAATCAGAATTTCAATGACCATTCATGTTTCCTATTTAGTACGATTTTGTAATTTACTTGCAGAATTCCTTTTAAATTAATGTGCAATTTACGACTTGCGTTTTTATGAAATTTAAATAGCTTTATTTTAAAATAAACAATAATGTTGTGTGTTCAAAAGTTAACAAAGAATAGCTATAGCTATAAAATTACTTGAGCATTGGGATATGCTGAAGCATGAAATTAAAAGTATTTATGTAAATATGTGTACTCACAATTGAAACACGTGACTTAAGAAAATCTTAATATGGTTGTTCGACAGATTATAAATTTTAATTCTATTTCGTCTGAAAATTGGACAGCTATTGTTTCTCTAAAGAAACCAATATTTATATAATCACAAATCATAAGTTCTTACAAAATATTAATAAGTGCTAAAATTAATAGCTGAACTATTGGGGCGCATGGCATCGTGCCTTAAGGCAAATTGCTGGAACTTTCCGTACCATTTTTTTTTTTAAAAAAGATTAACATTTTTGTTTATTCTGAAAAAAATAGATTTTGAGAAACTATAAATTTTTGACAAAAATTTCCTTTTTTTGAAAAAAAAAGACTTTGAAGAAAAATTTATTTTGAAATATTCTGGAAATTCTGAACTTTTTTTCAAAGCAATCGTACTGCTTTAACTGCGTAGAGACGAAATATCGAAGCGAGTAAGCGCCGCGTCGCCGTCTAATGGATAAATCATTGATACGGAACCCATAGGAACAAAACAATACAAAATTTATATTTATTGTTAAAATCTTTATAAAATATCTGATAATTTGATGTGCATATGTCTAATGATCATTTTTGACCGCCAAATAGCATTTTTTTTTACTTTTTTTTACTAGATCTCCGAAACCGCTAGACCTGCCTTCATGACAATTTGATCAGTTCTTCATCTTGTAAATACAAATAAAATGTTTTTTGAATTATTAAAATCGGACTTAAATCGGCTCCGTTCTCTTAAAAACTGAGTTACCGTTTTTGGCACTTTTTGCTCCGTATCTTCGGAACGGGTAGACCTGCCTTTGCCAAAAACTAATCAGCACATCTCCTTATCAATACAAATCGAATGTTCTTTTAATTATTCAAATCGCATCCGTGTTCCCGAAATCGTCGACAAAAATTTGTATCCGTACACACACACATACACGCACACACACACATACACACACACGTATCCATTTTTTCTAAGGTATGCCAAAATATTCAGAAACCTCTGAAACGTAAAGATACATAAAAATTTTCATTTTCGATTTTTTTGCGATTACCCTACGGGAAGTTAATAAACTCAGAATAAAGTATGTATGTATATCTTAACGAAATTTTGTCAATATCAAATAATTACTTATCGGTCTTACAAAAATTTTAAACACTATGAAATATGAATAAACTTTGAATAATTATTTCTAATGCTCCATCTTCTCTGCTTGTCTGTTTAATTAATTAATCACACAAATAAAGATTAATATTTATCTAACTATATAAAATAATTATTGTAGTATATGCAATAATTAGAAAGAGTTTTTGCTTCAACAACTTAATAATCAATCCTTCCTTATACAAATTCCTCCCAACTATCATTCCTGGATAGTGCATGCAAATTCTACTGACGCTCTTGAATGCTAATGATAATGTGATAGAATTCTCAATGACATCATAACAAAGATTAATTTGATTGAAATAAAATAAACAATTAAAGTGATTTATAAATTTTTCAGAATGAGTGCAGAAATGCTACGTTGCGCACTCAAGTGGAACGGCTCAGTTCTGATTTGGACGAACTCACAAAATTGTTAGAGGATAAAAACAAGGAAATGCAGGCTTTGGAGAAATGCCGAGAAGAAAGTGAAAAATCGAATACCCAAATTGTGAGTTCTATATTATATTTGAAAATTAAATACTTTTCTTGATTCTTCATGTGCGTTTGTTTTCTTTGGTTACTTTATTATCTAAGCAAAGTTAAAAGCTTTTTTCTCAAGTCTAGTGGATTGGTTTTTAATATCACAGAATTAGGTCGACTAGTAAAGTTATTTTAATATCATTTTTGATTAAAAGTTTCTTCGTTTATAATATAAACTTTAAAATGAATAATCTGTTAATTTCCATTACTTCGTAATTTCCATAATAAATAACTAGGTTCTTCAATTTATTTTTTAATTTTTCTGTTGAAAGAAATTTTTATTATCATTTAATATTGTTTATATGTATAACCAGTCACCTTTATTTCTACGACATCGCTACCGGAAGATAAAAGTATTTTCTTTCGTAGTTAGTTTTTTGTTGTAGTTGTGAGCACTGTTGTTTAGTTTACGAGTTTTTAATGTGAATTTCAAGTATACGCTATTTAATTGTTGTATAAGATGTATTGTTAATTTCAAGTTAGACTTAACAGTTTTTTTTTTTGTAACTTTTCGAAGTTCGGTTGAACTTGAACTAACTATTTTCAATATTTTAAATATTCATTATAAGTAAGTTTAATTTCTAAAATATTTTTAAAATATTTTTCTCAGGTGGAGCAATGGTCAGAAGCACTAACTCGACAACGCGCGAAATATGAACGATTATTGATGGACATGGGTGCAGAAATACAGCTCATTACTGTGCAACTACGAACTCTTCAGGATGTTTTGGTAATAATGCATTAGATTATTATTAATAGAAATATAGCATGATCTTCATTAACATTTATTGCTGATTCTCTTAATTATATCAAAATAAACTTTTAGGATCAAAAACTTATATAAGTGAATTTCTGAAATTATGATAGCTTAAGAGTTTTATCACTTTTGATTTTTGTTTTGATAATTATTTATATAATTTGAATTTTAACATTGATGAAATCTAATTGTATATAATTTTATTCAGGCTCAATCGGAATTTGAATCAGAAACGACTAATTCCAGCCTACAGGAGGCGCTAGCAGGTGTTAAAATACAAAATGATAGTCTTATGCAGGAATGCCAAAGATTGGAACAACAAAATGTCATACTTAAAAATAATATTCAAGACAAAAATGCCGAGGTAATTGTAAATAAAATTTGAGTTGTAATATATTTTAATGATATTTAGATTTTTAGCAGCAATGTCGACTAAAGAAAGTAAGATCTTTAAGAAAAGATCTTTTTCAGGATGTTGAACTCTGAGGGACATAATGCTTTCATGATCTGCAAGACTCTTTTCTTATTGATTTTATTTAATAATTTAACATACTAAAATGCTACTGTATATTACCAAACCAAGGTTGCAAAGCAGATTATTACAACGAGTTGAATCAAATTAAATAAAATGAATATTTTCAGATATCTAAATTATATAAAAGTCTATCGGATACTCGTGCAACTCTGGAGAATACTGAACGAAATCTTGTTGATGCTGAACAGACAATTAATTCAGAACGAAAACTTGCATGTGAACAAAAGGTGCATTTGGATTGTGCCAGGGATAAAAGCGAAATGATAAAAGGTAATCATTTTGTTTCTTGATTTTTTTTTCATCGTTATCATTGAGTAGGTACTTTATCAATATATGTGTACGATATTCAGTTCTAAAACACATTGCTTTATAAATTTGTTTAAGCCTTCATGTTAGGCCTTGCATTTTTTATCAAAACTCATCTATTTCTTTATATCCAGAAGTAAACTAATTTACTTAATTAATTGATGCACAAATGTAAATAAAGAAGGACTAAAAATATATTTGTTTTTTTTTATATTTGTTTACATTATGTCATTTCTGTTTTTGATATCAATTTGATATATTTTAAATGTTTGTTTAAAGAACTCCTAAAAACTCGCACCGATGAAGTAGCTTTATTGCAATCCCGAGAAGCGCAGCATATTAACTCTATAGGATTACTCAGGAAACAACAGGAATGTCAATTACAAGCATATCAACAAGATGTTGAACAACTGACAAGACAAGTATATATGCATAAATTTTATATTTTGGATTTTAGCTTTGTTAACTTCCCGTAGGGTAAGTTATACTAATCGCAAAAAAATTGCCAATGAAAATTTTTGCATATCTTTTCGTTTCAAAGGTTTCTGAACATTTTGCATACCTTAGAAAAAATAGATGTATGTGTATGTGTATGTGCGGATACAAATTTTTGTCGACGATTTCGGGAACACGATTCAACCGATTTCTATTATTCAAAAAACATTAGATTCGTATTGATCTAATCAATAAAATCAGGTCTGATTTTGATAATTAAAAAATCGTTTTGCTTGTATTGACAAGATGATGAACTGTTCAAATTTTGGGGAAGGCAGGCGTAGCGGTTTTGGAGATCTAGTAAAAAAGTAAAAAAAATGCTATTTTGCGGTCAAAAATGATCATTAGACATATGCGCATCAAATTATCAGACATTTTATGAAAATTTTAATAATGTGTATCAATTTTCTTTACATTCTATAGGTTCCGTGATGCGGCGCTTACGCGCTTCTATCGAGTTGAAGCTGTCCGATTCCTTTGAAAAAAAGTTCAAAATTTCCAAAATATTTTAAAATAAAAAAAATAATTTATTCCAAAAAAATTCTTTTCACAGATTCAATTTTTTTTCTAAATTTTTAAAGTTTTAAAAAAATATTTAATATTTAAAAAAAAAATAATTTTGCTACGGGAAGTTTCAGCAATTAGCCTCAAGGCACGATGCGATACACCACTTGTTTGGCACTAAACACTTAGCATTGCTATCGATATTGAAAAAGTATCGAACAACTATTTTATATTTCCGTCAGTGAATCGGTCTTGCCAATTTTATGTTTTCTCTAGGTTTTAAGCCATTCTGAATCTTTTGAGACCGAAATATAACTGTTGTTAGAGGCACATCTACGACAAGTAGTTTAATTTTAGAATAAGTTTGCAGCGATTTCAAAAATTTAAAAACCATTGGATGAATCTTGATGTGGGATTAGTGTTTATAAGTTTTGCGCGACGATCTGCCAAACCGTTTCTTTGTATTATTTAAAAAAGTATAAAAATATTCGTTCACGTTTTAGCTCACAATTCTGAATCGATTTTGAAAATTGAAAAAGTGTTCGAAAGATATTGGTTGAGAATCGTGCTAATGACTTTTTGGTAAAGTTTTCTTGTAATTAACTGTTATATTCTTGTAATTTATGATACTTTTTTGACGATAGATATCATGGTCTTATGCATCCTTTGGGAAGTTAACTAGGTATATAATAACTAGATAAATAATTTGTTACTTATATTTTTGGGTGTTTCATTATACAATTAAACCATATAATTTCTTTGAAGGTACAAAATTTGACCGCAAATTTGAATCGGTCTGAATTGAATTATACCACTGTTATGCGTGAATTATGTGAAGCACAATCTACTTTATTAACATTTACCGGAAGGCAGGCGAATGCTATTGGAGATGAATCGTCGGGCAGTATAGAGAGCAATATCCAAAAAACGGAAATGTTAACTAGAACCATAGATTGTGATGTATTACAACAAGATGCATCAACTGAATGTAGTCATAGTGTAAGTGCCGTGAATTGGTTCAATATATTAATTGTTTTATTTTTAATTGTTAAGTTATGGTTGTATCTCGGTTGTATTCGTGCCTTAATTTAATTGAAACGACACATCGCAAAATTTATGCATATAAATTTCTATAAATAAATGCATGAATCATTCACAGCTTAAAAGTGAATGTTCAAACTGCAACAACCTCTCTGCCGAAAGTTGCACTCTTCGGGTGCAACTTTCCACAATTCAAAAACAGCTGTTGGATGCGCACGCTCAACTTACCAAACTTAACAATGAAAAGCGCTGTCTAAGTGAAAAACTGAAGACGACTACTGAAGACAATGCCAAACATATCTCCGAGGTATGCAGTTCAAAATTAAATTATTAATCAATTATCATTAGATAATTTTCTGTATGTTTTATTTCATTAAATCTCTTTATTATATCATTTACCCACAGCTGCAGGCTACCAAAAATGAGTTGCATAGCACACGGGAATGCCAAGCCAATAGAAATCGCGCCCTGGAAGCAAGAATGAACTCTATGCGAGAAAAATGGGCTATGCGAAATGAGCAGCTCAACGCAGAGCTTTGTACAATGCAGTCCTCATTTAAAGAACTTAAGGAGCAGTACAAGTCAGTTTTTCTATCACAAATTTTTAGTAGTATATATCTGTGCATTGTTGGTATTCTAGAATAATTTATAAAGTCTCTAACTCATTTATCGAATCATTCATTACTTATGTTGTACCCAAGTTTCGTATATCATTTTCACATTCTTTATATTATGAGCTGTTGCGCTCGATTTTCTACGTGGGTTTGTTAGATAGCAACCTAACTGTTAACCTATCTATATTTGATTGAGTTTTTGAATTGATCTAATAATTTAATTTATGATTAACGTTATTAGATTTGATTTATTATTTAAAAATAGATATTTTTACGATTTTTAAAAAGATTCCGTAGCTACAAATAAATTCTATATAGAATTTTGAGACCAAATTTTCTTCAGTCATTAGTTACCAAGTCAAACAATATTATTAGAACAGCACTTAAAATAAAATAGTAATCTGAAAAACTAAATAACGTAGGTAGAGTGCGGTAACAGAAGTGGGCCACGTTTTTATTTTTGGTTGTAAAATGGTTAATAACGAATATATTTTTAAAATTTTTCTAGTTGCAAGGGTATTCCAAAATGCAACTTTTTATCATCACAATTATGTTTGGAAGTATTTCGTTTTTTTGAATCGCAAAACGTGTATTTATCGTGTTTTCCGAAAATATAGGGAGATGTGTGTGGGCCACCCAAATTTTTATCTGAAAAAATGCTATATGCTGCAAATTCTTACCCCCATGTATTTTGATGGGTTGGCTGAACCCACCCATGAGCCTCAAGATATGAGATTTTCTATTTCTCTTTAGACAAGGAAACACTGGCTGTCTAAAAAAACATAAAACAATGTAAACAATTTTTCTCGTGAAAATTCGATGACAAATCACGTAAGAGCGAACGAGGGTAAAAACTTTCTCGGCGAAATTCTTAGCGCGTTTTTCTCTGTACAGTGCGAGAGTACGTTTATAACCTCCAAATGCTTTTTAAAATTGAGCAAATATCAAGATATGATAAATATGTGCGAGTTCGACATACATGTCACTAGTCTTACTGTTATTCGGGTGGCTCACTCCAACCTGTGGCCCAAGTCTGTCCACCGCACCCTACTTATATATTTACTAGGTTTCTGGTTCATGAAGGGTTGGCAACACCTACTCAGTGTTTTTCAATTTGAGAAAAACTGGAAATCAATTATTTCTTCATATTTAAAAAAAATTATAAAACGATTTCTAATGAAAGAGGCACCATTTAAGCTGCAAGTTAAATAATCGATGTTTGAAATTAATTAGCAAAATCTTACTTTTTAATTATTTCTTTTTAAAAAGTCGACCTTTATTTCAATTGTAACGGTTTGGTAAACTTGTATTTTTATTTAATCAAATAATTATCACTAAATATTATAACCAGAAAAATTATATCCGATATTCAACATAGGCGGTGGTACGACTTGAGCAATACCCTTTGTAGTATAATTTTATGCTGCAATGTCTATAAAATATAAACCTAAAATTTCGAAAATATCAACAAACTTTTAAACATTTGGAAACTTTCAAAAATTTTAACAGTTATAGATACACATTATTTAAAAAACAATAAAATAAAATAAAAACAACAATATCTTATATATAAAAATGGAGCCCTCGATCAAACGATTCGGTAAAACTCGAAAACGGCTAAACCGATTTGGCCAGTCTTAGTCTTGAAAAATTTGTGCCGAACCAGAGATTGTCGGAAAGGTGAGATATTATTTAAAAATCGCGTAGAAAATTCACATTTTTAATTCGAAAATTTTTGTAGAAGCGTAATTTGAATTAAACAATGGACGGTGGTTAATACGTGAAATGTCAAACGTTTTTGACAGATGTTGTTCAATTACGTTTAATAGGATGTTTTACGTGAATATTATTTAATTATGATTAAATTGTAGTAAGTAGTTGTGTTTGTAGTTTTATTTATATACTTCATTGTATATAGCATTCAAACAACACATCCTTATACACCTAAAGTATTAATATTTTTGATTCTCTAGAAATTGTTTAGAATATACCTTACTTAGCAAAATAACGTTTGCCGGGTCAGCTAGTACTATATAAAAATAGTTTATTTTATTTGATATTATTTTTTTATAACTATTGCTTAGAATTTGGGATGCTATTCCGCTAGTTTATTTGTTGTTTTTTATATTAGATAGTAGATAGTAGATAGTTAATTCGTAGTTTTCATCAGGTGTACGAGCGAAATGCTGGCACGACGAGATTGTGAGCTGACATCAGCAAACACCACGTGTGCAGAATTACGCGCCAGGTCTCGCGATGTCGTACGCGACGTCCAGGCTTGGCATAGGGAGCAGAAAATGGTGCAACGTGAACTTGCCCAAAATGTTAAGAGGCTGAATGAACAACTACTCAAAGGCAAACAGGAAAAAGAGTATGTTATTCAAACATAAGTCATAAATAATTTGAAATAAACTAGTGGTGTATGGCATCAACGATAATGCAAATTGCTGGAACTTTCCGTACCAGAATTAAATATTCTAGGAAAAAATTCAGTGATCAATAAATTTTCAGCAATGATTAATAACAATTGTGTTTTAAACATTTTCAAATAGATAATTATAATCACTATATATTTTATCATTCATAAAATATACAGTGACAATCTTATCGCTCAAAGCACTTGAGAAAGTATATACATTACCAAGAGATGCCGAATGAATCCATCTGAGGATATATTGCTTAGGATGGGAATAGCGCATTTGAAATGTATGCATTTTCCAACTAAATTGTAAATTTTAAATTTATATTTGAAGTATAAAACCTTGTATTTTTTTAAAAATTTTGAAAAAAAAATCTGAGAATTTTGAAAAAAAATTCTAACAATTTTGAAATTTACTTGTACCGTATAAGTAAACTTAAAAAATTAAAAATCTAATTACGGAGCCCAACAAAATTAGAGCATTATCAAATTATATGATAATTTCATGTGCATATGTCAAATGTTCATTTTTGATCGACAAATATCATTTTTTTACTTTTTCTACTGTATCTCGAAAACCGCTAGACCTGCCTTACCAAAAATTTCATTAATTATTTATTTCATCTGCACTACAAGTAAAATGGTTTTGAATTATTCAAATCGGATGCTCCGTTCTCTTAAAAACGGAATTATCTTGTATTTTGGCACTTTTGCCCCGTATCTTCGAAACAGCTAGATCTGTCTTCTCATCAATAGGAATCGAATGTTATTTGAATCATTCAAATCGGTTAATTCATGCGCCCGAATTTGTGAACGAAAAGTTGTATCCAAACATACATCCATTTTTTTAAGGTATGCCAAAATGTTCAGAAACCTTTGAAACGTAAAGATATCCAAAACTTTTCATTTTCGATTTTTTTGCGATTACTATAACTTTCTCTACGGTAAGTTAATAAAATCAAATTTGATAAATTGGCATTGAAAAAGTTTGAAAACTGCAAATTCAAGATTAAGAAATAATAAGCTAGAATTTAAAATAATGGAGGAATATAAATACCGCAAAGTCATGACATGAATAATTCACTTATTAACTTTCCGTAGGGTAAAATCGAAAAGTGAAAATTTTTGCATATCTTCACGTTTAATTGGTTTCTGAACATTATGGCATACCTCAAAAAAATGGATGTGTGTATGTATGTGTGGATACAATTTTTCGTGCACGTTTTCAGGAGTACTGCTCAACCTTTTAACCTCAACGGTTTAAATGATTGAAAAAACATTTGATTCCTATTGATAGGGAGACGTGCTGATTAGTTTTAGGGAGATACGCAGCAAAGAGTGCCGAAAATGGAAATGCAAAAGTTTTTGCGAGAACAGGGCATCCGATTTGAATGATTCATACAACATTCAATTCGTAATGATAGGGTTGAAGTGGTGATTATTTATTGACAAAACTAGGCCAAGGAGGTTCCATAAAAAAGAAGCTAAAAGTTTCAAAAATGACAGTTTTTTTGAGTAAACAAAGCATCCGATTCGAATGATTCAAAATAACATTTTGTGAAGAAACTATTAGTTTTTCTGGAAAACAGAAAAAAGCTTTCTAAAAATTTCAAATGTTCTTGAATTTATTTTTTTAATATCGAAAATGATTCGAATTTTAATTTTAATTCTAAAATTTAAACTTCTAACACTCATTTATATACTTCAAATAAATAATTTCAACTTTGCAATTCAGTTTATATAATTTTTAGAAATATGAGATAACCTCCTTCATTCTAAAGTCGCTTGATCAAGTTTTGATTATTTACTTTTATGAAAGTCATTATCCAATTTATACGCTCTTCTATATTGTCCATAAAATACGAATAAAAAAAGTTACAGCATTTATAATAATCTATTTGAAAGCATTTGTTATTCCTTGAATTCTCATTACGGTAAGTGAAGTTAAAGGAAATTGCTTTGAGGCATGATGCCATGCACCACAAGTTCAATTTTAGCTATTATATAAAAAAAACTCGAGGCGTATTAAGTAATGGAAAATTACTTTATGGAAAATAATGCTCTATTTTTATAATATTGTTGGAATTATTATGTTTTCTGGTTTGATTTAAGAGATTTTATTGTGTATATTATTGCTATCATTCAAGTTTAGTCTATTATTTTACATGCATGTAAAATGCGATTATCTCTAGAACAAACTTATGATTATTGCACTTATTGTTTTACATTCATGTTGTCTTTTAAGCAAATCTATATCAATCAGTTATAATTTAACATTGTTATAATTGCACTTAATGAATTTTAGGTGTCTAATGACTAAAATTAATACTCTTCAAAAAGCCAATTCACAATTGTACCACGAATTAACTAAACCTAAGGTTATTTCATTTGAAGCAAGTGCATTGGAGTATGAACCTGGTGCTAATAAGTAAGCAAAATTAAATTTGTTTTTTAGTATATTAGAGAAATATTTTGTAATATAGTCTTCTAATTTTCTATCGTTTCATTTTCATCTAAATATTGCTCATGACACTTTTGGAGAAAGAACTATGCGAGTTTATCATGGTAAAATTTTCTGAACATGAAACTCTCATAAAATTCTGTACTAACTTTTTGTTATAGATCACAAAATAGTCCTTTTTATTTAAATTTTTACTATATCTCCAAAATAGCACCAAATACACATATGGTTATTTTAAACTTTCAAAGTCGTTTTAGCAGTTCTTTCAAAATGTGGGAGGTACATGATCCATCTCTTCTTTCATATGGAAGAATGATCATATATTCGCAAGTTATAAATAAACAATTTAATAAAAATGTTTTGCGTGACTTTTCTAAATTGCCGTATCGTAAGTTAATAAAATAGAATAATAATTAATATTATGTATAAATTTCAGAATCACCACTCAATGCACTTGGGCTGAAGTACCATATGAAGAAGCCCTTAGATTACAAGCCGGCGAAGATGACGATAGTATGGTTAGCATATTTTGATTTTCTATTTAATTTCTAAAAGGCTTTGATATTTATGTTGTCTATGCAAACTATTACAGTCAAAATTATATGTAAATTTCCAAACTATTGGGTTGTTCGGAAAGTAACTTTGTTTTTTCTAGACATTTTAACACTGAATTTTCGTACAATGAACAATTACTTTGATAAATTATGTATTGGCAGTTTTGTTCGAACGTCTTTTGTCTTATTTCTGGTATTAGTATAATTCCGAGAACATAAAATTTCTGGTCGTTATTTGCAAAAAACTGATCAAAGTGCTTTTTGACATACTGAATTGAGGTAAAGGTATTACCGCCTGAAAATTTTTTTAGTGGCCGGAATAAATAATGGTCCGATGATGGCTGGTCTAGAGAATATGATGAATGTGTCATTGGGTCCCATTCAAGCTACAAAAGCTTTTAGGACTATACCTTGCTTGTGGGTTAATTCTGATCTTTTCTTTTGAAGTATAGTATTTAGTTTATCCAGTTGATGAAATAAGGCATCCAAATTAACCGTTATGTTATCCTGGAAAAGTTGAAACATGAACAACTCCTTTGAAATCTTACTAAATATACTGCATTATCTTGTTCTGGCAAATTTCAGCTTTGCGCCCGTTTTGAGCAAGTTTTTTTTTCATGGGTAATTGAGTGTATTGTATTCTTTACATCCCATTTGACATTCCTAGTTACAATTCGCTTCAAAGCCTCATAATTTTCAGGACTTTTCAGAGGCGAATCGCGGACGCCATACATTGAGTTTCGAGAAAAATTCCAGACCTTTTGAGTGGTCATGAACTGTTAAATTTGATAAATTTTAACTCAATGGGATCTCATGTATTGTTTTTCGCCCGTTTGTATCAACTACTGCCTTTCTCACATCTTTATCAGCTTCAACCGTAGTTCTTGGACTTGGTGCATCTTGGACATCAAAATACCAGGAACGAAATTTAGCAAACCAATTTTGGCACTGTCATTTCCGTACACATCGGTCAATTTCATTTTTGACTTAAACTTAATTTTTAGCAAAAGAGTAAAATGTGCCGAAAAATCTTCTTAATTTTTTCCGTATTCAAAGTGGCACCTTCCAAAAACTACCGCATGTAATTGATTAGAATTTTTTACGCACAATCCTTAAAATATAAGTTTTAAAATCATATAATAATTATAGTGCTTAAGCGTGGTGTTAAGTTCAAAAAAATATAGTTAAATTCTGGTTGCAAAAAAACGAAGTGACTTTCCGAACAACCTTATAGAATTATTATGAAAAATATGATTTCAAATTCATATGTTTTAAATATAGATAAAATATTGTTCATAGAACAATAAAAAGATGGTATCAGAAACGACATGATATAACGCATTATTCAATATAAATTATGAAATAATTAATATGAAACATATTTAACATTTCAACTGTTTCATCTGCTTGTGCTTGTTTTAAGTTTGCAAATACTTTTTTTAAAAAATAATATTATTTTTTTTATCGTAGAGCAATGATACTCTTATTGAATCTCGATGGTTGGATCAAGTACAAAGTATTACAGAGCAACTTCAAAGAACAAGTTCATATTGGAGTAAAATTCTTGAAGGAGCTCACATAGAGGAGACATAAGTATTTCAAAATCGTAAAAAAATGCAAAACATAATTTGTTTTGTGTTAAAATTCACAGTATTAGAAGAATATAACTTCATCTTTATATTTTTTAAGCTCTTTAAATATGTTTTTATATGAGTCAATTTTTTTAAATAATATTTTTTAATATAAAATTATGTTGATTGTTATTTTTGAGATTGTGTTTTTTTTTTGTTAATTGATTTTATGTGGTTTGAATCTTTTTAAATACAATAATTTATATAAATATGACTGATTTTTATTGCTTCGATGTGAGGTTATATTTTACCGATCGTACCGATTCGTGTAATTTTTTTCGAATCGTAGTAGGTATTTCAATATAATAATCAAGAATATAGTTAAAAGAAATAAGAATGTAAAAGATATTGTATCTATATCGTATTTATGCGCAACCATATTTTCCGGATCGTATTCAAAGTTCTGCAATAAATATTGCGAATTTAAAATATTTTATCTATGAATTTGAATCGAAGTTTTATTTGTTTATATAATTTAATTATACTAAAACATTGAAATTTCGATCATTTATTAAAAATGGAATGTTTGGCTCATTAGATAAAAAATAGTTTTAAGATTAATTTTATAAATCGAATCCCAAGACTTGCAAGATCACAGGGTTTAATAACCCACAAAGCACAAATACGCGGTCCTAGGTTTATAGCGACAAGTAAAAAGGTTTACTAAGTTTTTTATTTTATAAGTATTTTTTAGATACTGTAGGAGAAAAAGATATCAATAGACACTGTAGGAGAAAAAGTGGCTTTTAAAATACAAAATTCTGGCCATTGTCAGAGATTTTAAAAATTTACTATTGATTGTGTATTGATATTTTAACGTGCCGCACAAATAATAAGATGAATATCTGAACCTTGTTACGGCCACGGGTCAACCCGATAGGTATAGGTAGAAAAAAGTTTGGTCATAGGTCAAAATGGCGATATAAGATATCGGGTTAGAAGCAAATATTACGCATAACGGGCACGGCCCGATACGGTAATCACAATTATTACAAAATATTTATTTATACGAAATTATAAAACACAAAATTATTATTATTTTTGTGATAAACTTCACACTGACATGAGTGGGAAAATAGTCAAAATGAGCCAGCTTGAACAACTTTGGCCCAACATTTTCGAATCTAAATCGTAAGTCAAGGGTTAACCATTGACTTAAAATGTAGATACAAATATATATAATTCTATACAGTATATTCTTAATTTGTACTATGATGATCTCGAGTTATTTGATTTATAAGAATTTAAAGGTATTCATCAAAGTAATAAATGGTTTAAGATAACATATGATATTTTTTGTTTTATCACCTCTTGTAGTTTTTGTAAAATAAAAAATATAAACGGTTTTATTCAAAAATAGCCAGATATAAGGAGACAAATTCACGATCTGTCAGATCATGCGCGCGTATTGTTGTTAAACCTTTGATCAATGTGTTAAAGAATTTGGCACATTGTGTAGAATATGTGTAAAACATTTGAGTATAGGGAGGTTAAGGATGCCGGTTAAGACCACGATCTCTTCATAAAAAGTTTCAGCAAAATTGTCAAAAAATGATTTTTAACAGTTCATTCAAAATTAAATATCAAAGGAATCGGCCAGTGCAAACTTTGCCAACGACTAATCAGTACGATTCTCTTTCAAGGCTCTATGAGCGGTTTTTTAACTTTCGTTATAGTAATGGGCCGAAAATCGAAAATTAAAATTTTTGCATGTCTTCATGTTTCAGAGGTTTCTGAACATTTTGGCATATCTCAGAAAAAATAGATGTGTGTGTTTAGTTTGTTCGTAATATTTTGTCCACGTTTTCTTGCGCACGGATCGACCGATTTGAATAGTTCAAAAAACATTTGATTCCTATTATTAGGGAGATATGCATATTAGTTTTTGGCAAAGGCAGGTCCAGCCGTTACGGGCATAAAGAGCAAAGAGTGCAGAAAATAGAAACCGAATTGGTTTACACCAGTTAATTTTTATGGTCGGCTCTGGATATTTATCTGAAACATACAAGAATATTTTTATTTTATCTGCTGTTTTATATAATGGTTTTTAAATTTTAATTTAATTTAATTCCAACGAAACGGTTGACTTGTTAACGAGAAGGAAACGGTTGATTTGTTAACGAGAAGGAAACGGTTGATTCATTAGCGAGAAGGAAACGGTTGACAAAAACCATTCGTTAATTTAGCTTAGACACCAATCACTATCTAGAGTCTAGACACACACATTTGTATATGATCAAACACGTGTTCTGTCAATAACTTGAACATTTAGGTTATGTTGTTTATTTCAATACTGAAATACTGCAGAATTGCAGTAGCAAAAGAAAATATAATATTAAACCTTACGACATAGTAAAAAATCTGTAAATAAACATGACTTTTTGTGAGAAAACTCATGAAGGATTAATTTTCAAAGGAAGTAGTTATTTACGTCAGAGATTACTTTTGGCAACTCTGAGTGGAAAAAAAATTCAAATCAAAGACATAAGATCTGATGATAATGAACCTGGTCTGCGAGAATATGAAGTAAACTTAATTCGACTTTTTGATAAAGTAACCAATGGCACAAATGTTGAGCTAAATGAAACTGGTACTGCTCTAAAATATCAACCTGGATTACTTCACGGAGGGACATTTACTCACGATTGTTGTGTACAACGAGGAATAGGTACAAATCAATTGAAAATGTTTAATATATTTTAAATTATTATGGATTTTTATATTTGTTATAATAAGGCACAAAAGTTGCTTGTTCTTTTTTTCTCTTTCATTTTATAATAATAATAATTAAAATTATTAAAATTATGTTTAACTAAAAATCGATGCATCTGACATTATAAATATAATGTTAAAATATAGAAATATTGAATTTTTATTACTATTTAATATGAGATAATGGTTCCATACCAATCTATTTTTTTTATTTAATTTACTAATGCATATAAGACCTAAAAATGAATTATTTTATCCTGTTAGTAGTTATTTCAATTAATTGAAAATGGTGTTCATACTGTAATTTTTATGTTTTACAGGATACTACTTAGAAGTTTTGCTTGCGTTAGGTCCTTTCTGCAAAAATCCACTAAATGTTACATTGAAAGGTGTAACAAACAGCTCAGATACCCCATCTGTCGATTATATAAAAGATACATACTTACCAACATTACTGAAGTTCATTTTAGTAGATGATGGACTTACGTTGAAAATTAATAAGAGAGGTATTATATTAGATCGTTTATTTATTTAATCTAGTATGTATTATCTAGTGCTTCAAACAATGATCAAATCCAAGAAAAATTTATATTGCTTTTTTCGAAGTACAACACAAATATATATACTATAAATATGTGTATATTAATAACATATTTATAATGTAACTTTTTCAAACATGAATTGCTTAATATCATTATAAATTATATAGCATAGCACAGTGAATACAACCAAATTAGTTAATTTTTAATATCTTACACGGTTACAAGAACCTCTCCATATTCTTCATTTCCTATTCTTTATGTAATCAATGATAATTTTCACTCAATTGAAGTAATTCTTAATATTGCTCAAAATAACTGTAATAAATATCTAGTACATTTTTCAAAGGTTTGATGCCAAAAGGAGGTGGAGAAGAGTTATTCAAATGTCCCATTAAAAATAAGTTGCTCAAAATAACTGTAATAAATATATAACAGTGAATGCAACCAAATTAGTTAATTTTTAATATCTTACATGGTTACAAGAACCTCTTTCATAATCTTCATTTCCTTTTCTTTTTGTAATCAATGATAATTTTCACTCAATTGAAGTAATTCTTAATATTGCTCAAAATAACTGTAATAAATATCTGTTATAGTTTTCAAAGGTTTGATGCCAAAGCAGGTGGAGAAGTTTTATTCAAATATCCCATAAAAAATAAGTTGCTCAAAATAACTGTAATAAATATCTAACAGTGAATACAACCAAATTAGTCAATTTTTAATATCTTACACGGTTAAAAGAACCTCTTCTATATTCTTCATTTCCTATTCTTTTTGTAATCAATGATAATTTTTACTCAATTGAAGTAAAACTTTATATTGCTCTAAATTACTGTAATAAATATCTATTACATTTTTCAAAGGTTTGATGCCAAAAGGAGGTGGAGAAGTTTTATTCAAATGTCCCATAAAAAATAAGTTGAGACCTGTGCAACAGTTGGATTCAGGAATGGTTAAACGTATTAGAGGAACTGTGTATGCAGCTCGTGTTTCTCCAGCAATTGCAAATAGAATAGTTGAACATGCTAAATCTGTGCTACTGAAGTTTCTTCCTGATGTCTATATAAATACTGACCATTGTAAAGGACCACAAGCAGGAGCAAGTCCAGGATTTGGAATTTGTCTTGTTGCAGAAACATCGAATAATATTTTTTATGCTGCAGAATGTGTAAGTATCAAATTATTTTAATTGCCTCTTAATAAATCATAATCATAATTGATTCATATTTGTGGATTAAATTACACATAGTTTTATTGCACAAGTTTGGCATTATTTTTCAACAATTTTGCTTGCTGTTACTGTTTACTTGTACCTTTTTTAATTCAATTTTATATTTTAAAATGTTCTGTACATTTATATTAGGTTTCAAAACCATCAATTCCCGGTGAGGAACCTACTGTTCCAGAGGATATTGGAAAAGAAGTAGCTCATCGATTAATAGATGAAATTTATAGGGGCGGTTGCGTTGATAGTTCAGCTCAAAGTTTAGCTACTTTATGGATGGCACTTGGACCAAAAGATATATCAAAATTTTTAACAGGTATTACATATTCTGCAATCACAAATACTGTCATAGCATTTCATTTATATTATTTCAAATATTTTACATTCATCTAATTTTATTAAAGGTCCAATGAGTCAGTATACAATAGGTTTTTTACGACACCTTAGAGAATTTTTTGGTATCACCTTCAAAATTAGTAACCCTCAAGAATTAGATGACGATGAAGATGCTAGTTATGGATCTCAAAAAGTCCTTTTAACATGTGTGGGTATAGGGTATACAAATATTAATAAACGAGCTACATAATTGTAAAAATGAGAAAATATAATTAATTATTTAATATAATATTGCATTTATTTTATTGTTAATTTTAAAAATAGTTTAAAAATACGTCATCAGTATTAAAGAGTATTATTATTTATGATTGTGCAATTGGCGTTTTTTTAACATAAATGGTGTGAGTAACAAGATATTTAATATTTGAGGCAAACCATGTTAAATAGGAAAGGAGCATGGAATGAAATAAAATCCAACTAAAAATCTCACTTTCAATCTATCTAGAATTATTATTGACAGAATATGTAGTGCTCCATGCAAATTTATATCAATTTATAAATCGTGCATCAGTGTCTTTGATTCATTATAAGACTAATAAACCAATGAATTAAAAAAAATCAAATAACTAGTTAAAACAATGAACAAGTGCTTGTCCACTGAAAAGTAAGTGCAATATTAGATCAAAAGATCATTGGCATTTACAGTACATATTTAAAAAAAATTAATAAAGTTAGTTCAAATAATATTGTTTGTTGTTGAATTACAGATTATAGTTATATCTTCATATTCTATTGAAGTAAAAGACGTACATTGAACAGCACTATAATTTGAGAGTGTAGACACTAAAAGTCAGCTTAGTTTGTTTTCTTAACTTCCTGAAAAAGAAGTTTATGTTTCCTCGGCGTTTCGTGTGTGTTCTTATGTGAGTCGATTTTTGACCTTTCGTCGACGTTTTTTCAAAAACGGTGGAACTGATTTCAAACATTTTGATCAGTTTTGAGAGATCGGCCGAACCGTTTCTTTGTAATAATATATATTATAGGCCTACGATAAGCGATTCCATTGTATAACTTGTAGTTGTAAAAATAACTGATAATTGTAAACAATTAATTGAATTGTAGAAATTCTAAACATTCAATTGAATTATAAAAAATAATCATAGTACATTCAGTCTTACTCTACTCTTCTTTTATCTATGCATTCAGTGGTTTTCTGTAGGCAGCTACTAATTACAGTTGACGTCTGCACTTACATTGTAAATTATCGAAATTTAGAATACGAAATAGGTGAAATAAAATTTGTCAAACAATAGTTAATTTAATTTGTACAGTTACAGATGTTATGAGTATGAAGATACAAAAGAGTTATCACATGATATGCTCCGGCAACTCTTTTTTTATCTTCATACTCATAACACTCATAACTTTGAAGGTACCTTCAAAATTAGTAGCCCTCAAAAATTAGATGACGATGAAGATGCCAGTTACGGATCTCAAAAAGTCCTTTTAACATGTGTGGGGTGTGGGTATAGGTTAGTCTTACTCTAGTCTTCTTTTATCTATGCATTCAGTGGTGTTTCGTAGACAGCTACTGATTACAGTTGACGTCTACACTTTATAAAGTAAAATTTGTCAAACAATAGTTAATTTAGTTTGTACAGTTGCAGATGTTATGAGTATGTTTGAAAATAATCAATTTTAATCGTATTGAATAATTCGAAATATACAGTTGAACTAATTTTACCTAAATTCCTAAATCTCAATTTTTATTGACTAAGTTGATTTTGATTAGGTATACATATCAGAAAGTTCATGCAACTTGCCTTAACAGCTAGTTCATTATAGTAGTTTATAGTAGTAGTATTTATAATTGATTATAATTACGAGAGGATATATGCTGATTTGAAAAAAAACGGCAAATATTGCATGTGGCGCCATTCAATGATGCGTGTAATTTAAAAGTACTTTTTATGTATAACCTAACCTAGCCTAACCAAACCATCGCTGTGACTTCAAAGTCAAACATCACTTTGACAGTTTAGCTCCTGCTCCTATTACACTTGCGCTAGTTTATTGTTCATAATGTAACGTCAAATATAATTTATTATTATGGTTTGTTTTATTTCTTCACTGAGATCGATCGTTTATTAATGTACTATGTAATTCGACTTCATAACTTTTCACAAACATTAATAGTATCTTGAAGTTATGGCTAATATGGATTATAAACATTTGTTAAGGAAATTACAATTTCCTGCTTGCGCAAAAGAGGCACTTCCTATCATAGGTATACTTTTAAAACAACACAGTAAATTAAAAAAATATATAATTTACATAAAAAATCTCATTTACAGAAAAGTTAATTTGTGGTCGCAATGCTCCTTCCACCAAGCAAATAGATCTTGCAATGGAGTTAAGTGCAGAATTTCTATTTTGTGAAACAGATATTAAGGGACATACTGTTGAGGTTTCACTTAAAGACCAGAGTGTCAAGGAATTGCAGTTAATATTTGCACTGGCAAATTATTTTAAAGAGTCTGGAGATGAAACTATTAAAAATACTGTATTTTTGTCATTATTTGGAGAGACTATGAGTAATAAAAGAGCACAAACCTTATGGAAATTAGTCAGTTTGGCTATATCTTTTGGATATTCATCAGTAAATATTAAATGCTGCTAAAATATACACTTTTCATATATTTTACATTTGTTTTTCTATTACTTTTAGCTTCTTCTTGCTGTTGGAACTTGGATGCAACAATTAGGATGTACTTCATCTCATAGTCTTGATTTATGTAAACATTTAATTAAAGATTTCTTTAAGTCATCTGAACAACAAGATACTTTACTCAAACTTGGGCAGCTTGCTCCACGATTTACAGCTAATTTTATGACAGGAGTAGCAGAGCATTATTTAAAAGTTGATGCCAAAAGTGGGTTTTCTTCACCACCTCCTATGCTTTTGGAAATCATTACAAACTGGGTATTTAATAAGTTTTTCAAGCTATAATTCTATCCGTTGACACATGCTTCTTAATTAAGGTGACCATATGGCCCGGTTTGGCCAGGTCAGTCCCATATTTCCACTTGTGTCCCATTTTTTTTAAAAACATTATTTGTCTCGAATTTAGATCAGATTGTCAGAGGTTTTCAAAAAGTTTAGGCTTAAATTAAATCTTTGCTCTCATTTTAAATTAGAATTACAACTACCCATCAAATATCTGAAAATGTTATGTACAAAGAGTATAGGAGTCGGGTTAAAATACCCTCTTACATTAATAATTTTGACAAAAATTTACAAAAATTATGAAAACATTTTGATGTTGCTTTTTCAAGATAATTTTAAAGCAAATTAAACAGTATTTAATAAAAAGTTTAAAAGCAAAAAAATAATATAAGATAATATAACCTATTATCGAATAATAGGTATTCTTGCATAAAGTCTGTAATTCTGATTTAAAAAAATCAATTCATTCAAAGAAAAGATTTTTATAGCATTCTTAAATATTATTCTTTATATTAAAAATATTAAAATTTTTTTCATACCAACCCCACTCGTCCGGTTACGGATTACCAAAACTAAAAATTACAGTCCCGGTTTTGACTTGAAATAATATAGTTACCTTATTTTCAATGCTATAAGTGCACCAAAAATGGTTTTTTAGAATTTGTTTATTACTTTTGTAAAACATTTATAAATATATTTTAGACCCATAAGAGTAAAAAATTGATGAAAGCTAATACGAAGCTGAATTGACATTAATATTATTTAATACTTGAAAAACTTATAATAATGTGACAGATTACTTGAAGCAATATAGTAAATAATGCTGAAATATCTTGAAATTGTTCTGACGATAAAATATCTTAAAAATATCTGCTGTATGAGATTTTTCTAAAATGTTAACTAAATCAAAATTACTACTCCAGGTGTGCGAAGACACATCTTTATGTATGGCAGCCCATCAAACACAAGCTGCTCTTCCAAGTGGCGGAATTGCAATGGCAGCAATTACACCATTTGCAGGTCTGTTCAAATGGTGCATCCTAGCACCACTTACAACGCCTGCTGCAGAGTATGCGCAAGTTGAGCATTTATATAGTAAACTTTATTTGGGTTTGCTAAAAAATCTATTGGAGGTAATTAATCTGATTATAATAATGTGCAAAATTTATATAACAAAAATGTTTGAAATAATTTGGAAACTAGTAGTAAAGCTAAGCTATTACTGAATATTAGTTCTAATACTCAATACCGAATTCAAAATAATTGATGATATTATATAATTGTATATTTTTTTAAGTCTTTTGGTATCATAATCAATTAACTGATTTAGTTTAATTTTATTTTACTTCTAAATAAGGAGATAAGGAAATTGATTTTATATTCATAATTGAGGAATGTCATATTGCCATATAATTCTTTTTTCTCAAACTTTTGAAACATTCACACAAAAGACTTTACAAATAAACTCCATCTAAGGTAAAGCCAAGCCCTGGACCACCAACAGCTATGAGCGCCCAACATTTAGCACAAGTAGTGCCCCCGATAGCTGAATATATAAATAAAAAGCAAATAGCTACAGCTGAAAATCAATTATTATCAGAAAGTAGTATATCTAATTTTCAAGACCAGTTCAATAAAGGTACATTTAAATTTAAAATAAACTTTATTTTTTAATTAATCGTTGGTAATAACTTATAACTGAAGTTATAAATTATATATGATAGTATAAATATTTTTGAGGCCATTATTTGTTGATCCGCAAAGGATGCAAAATAGATTTTCATCATTTAATTTTTACTTTTATTAAACTTTAAATCAATTATTAATAAATTTGTTTCATAAAAAGTATGTATTTGAAAGCCAGCAATAAGGATGAAATAACAGAAGCAAAAAGCATAAGTGCAATAATATTCTGTTTTTGAGACTATTGAAAAGACAAATATTTATTCACAGTATAAAATAATTAATCCCTTAATTATTCATTTTATTAATTATATATAGCTTCAAACTTCCTTTATGAAAACTATAAACATTTTTCTTTTTAATTTTACAGCTCGACATGCCGGAGAACAAAAGAATTTTTATTCAGATAGTAGCATACATGATAAAAAAGCATTAGATCAAGAATTCACAAATATGCAACAATATTTTGATAATAAACTCGATTCTATATTTGGATATGATAGAAAATCAATGTACAATACTGAAAGTGATCATGAAATGATAATAGATGAAGAAGTTTTTACTCATAGTGAAGATAACATAGTGACATTAGATTCTTTATCCAACTTTGATGCAAGTTTAAATTATGATCGAGCAGCTAGTATGAAATTCAAAGATTTATTTTTCAAAAAATACCAATTTATGCTTGAAGAAATTAATGAAAGATTAGATAACAAATATAATAAAATTTATCTGGATGAGAAAATGATAGAGGTAAAGACTGAATTGGCAGCTGATGAAACTTACATTGAGGATAAATTATTAGATGTAAGTATGTTGTAAAACTGCTTATTTTCAAAAATTTTATTATATTGAAACATTTTTTTTTTATCATTTCACACATATTTAAAAATACAAATTTTACATATTGTTTGATATATGCTAGACTATACAATACATAAATCATCATTTAATCAAAAAAGTTGAAAAGCGGATTTTTTGTCAAAATTATTCCAGGTGTTTACTAGAGTTTTCATAAACTTCAATCAAGTTATTTCTGTTGTAATAAGGCTATTATTCATCTGTTATAAAACATATATATAATTTCAGGTTGCACTGGAAAGGCTTGCAGAAGCTATGCAAATATCAATAGCAGTTAAATGTATGTATGGTAGCAAACCATATTTATTTTCACAAATAGAAACACTGCCTCATAATCAGCTGTTAACATTAATTCTTAAGTCCTTGAGGGCCCAATCTTTATAATTATTTTTTACAGTAAATAAAGGTTTTATTAATGTTAAAATGGTTTAAATTTACGTGATTGTTTGAGCAGAGTGATACGTTTTTTATCTTCTTCAAACTTTTGCCGCAGACTAACTAAATGTTTCATTTTAGATTCTCGAATTTGAAAAGTGTAGAAGTTTAATAATTCTTTTCTTTTCTTTCCAGCCTTATCTTTTTGTTTAATTTTATTTTCTACACTTTCCTTTCTGGCAAAACCAGGTTTTCTGCCATGTTTTGTAACAGTTATCCATCCTTCATCATCCGCTTCTTGCAATGATTTCTCATGTTGCATTTTTCTACTTTCTTCTTCATCATAAATTTTCATAAAATTATCAATTTCTGCTTGCATTAATGTTTCATCAATAATAGAATCATTATATTCTTTGATCCATCGTCGTATGCCAGTATTTACTTGAAAATCTTTGGTCGATAATGGTATCAATTGCTTCATTGTCAGGCATTTCTGCAAAGCCATAACACTTTTAAACACAATATAAGCTACTTTAAAACCAACAGTATGCAGTGAAGGTTGAAAAAGACTTGATTCATTTGGATTTGAATTGTTCACACCGCATGAAGGTTTTTGTGAAAAGATAACATTTGAAACTTCTCCTACTTGATTGAATACATGTTTTACACTTTCTTCTGTAGCATAAGGAGGTACATTTAATATGAATAATGTTCTTCCTTTAGGTTTGTCTTCTGTATGTCCTCTTACAGAATGCTCTTTTATATATAAATAATGTGCATCTGTACTATCATTGGAAAATTGTAAGCGTAGTGCTATAAAGAAACAAAGTTAATTAATGTCAAGGAATTTTAAAACAAATCAATTATAAGTTGTCATATGTACTAAAAAGTATTCATTCTTTAATGGCTTGAGAGTTGAGATCAAACTAAAGACTAACGCTATTGAGAGTAATGAAACAAAATACATAGTTAAATTACATCTTTAATTTCACTTATAATAATACAAGCAGGTTATAGACAACACTCACTATTAAAAACATAATTAAATTATTCAAATATATTTTAAAATATACCTCGAAATCCAAAAAGAGATTCTGCATCTGTACTTTCCATTTTTAATATCTACAATGTTATTTATTTAATAATTTACGAAATACTCATTCGATACATGTGGTTTGGAATTAATGACAGATAAGTAACCTAAAATTAAAATGACAAATGGTTTTATTTCAATAAATTAATTTAGTTTTATAGCTCGCAAAAATTTATACTTTCAAAAATATAAAAGTAGCCAAATGTTATTTCATAGCAAAATTTTAAGTAAATTTAAAACAAAACATGCAAAATATTTATTTTTTAACCTTAGTGTTGGCGCCATTGAAGTTCAGAAAACTTGACGCACTTGACGGTTCTGTTTGATTCATTATTATTTGATGTTCAGAACTGCTGTCATTAGTGCATTTAGTAAATGGGAATAGGAAATACAATATACAATAAATAGGATTTTGCAAGTTTGTAATGAGAAGAAGCTTCCATTGATCGGAATGTGAGGTTGATAGGGTGATGATATCAAATACATCAAGCAACAAGCTCAAGGCTTCTAAAAGCTCAAGAGATTTAGATGATTCAAATAAAAATATAGACGAGGAAGCTTGCACGAAAATTTCTATTCGACAGCGTAGCGATAGTCATAATGAGGAAAAACCCTTGTACACAGTGGTGTACTCGAGAGATAGTCGATATAAATCCACGATGCGCGTCCGATCTGGTTCGGACATACGTGGGAATAAAAGTTCTTCCGAGCGAAGAGGGTCTACACAAAGAACTAGAGGCACGTTGTTCAAAAAATTTGATTCGGAAAGTTACAATTCTCGCAAATTTCAAGAATCGATGAGTATTAACAAATCTAGTGATGCGTTGAACATAACCTCCAACTATGGTAAATACAATGAATACGATATTAAAACTGGAATAAGCTATAATTTACCTGAAGATCCGAGAATTTCTAAGCTTTTAAGACGTCTTTGCGCCGAAACTGATCCTGATAAAGCATTGTCATTATGCAATAAGTTGCAAGAAATGATTGTGTTACCAGATAATGCAAGGTACATTCGTAGGTCTTTTAATATTCTTGGTGAAAATATTATTGAAGTGTTGAGGTCAGGTCCAGTTCCATGTCGAGAAGAAGCAGCTCGAGCATTGGGTAAATGGGCTATGTTCTGTGCCCAGATTTTCATCGATATTGGGTTTGGCTAGTGAACTGTTATTCTTCCGAGGAAGTGGAGGTACGTGCATTATTAATGAAAGCTTTAAACGAAACATTACTTATAGATTCCAAACGACCATCCCTACATAATGATGCTATGTCAACTATGGAGCATTTACAAAATTTATTGGAAAACACGCATTCATCTTCAATATTTACAGCAACGGTGGAAGTTATTATTCTTTTATCAAAAACATATCCTGAATCTTTAGGTCCATTATTTGTTGACATGGTAGATATTTTAGTTGGCTGGCATTTAGATATAGAACAAACTAAAGATATTAAAGATTGTGCGGCCAATACATTACAAAAATTACATCTTTTTTGGAAATCAGATATTAGCTTTTCTGAATACATACTTGGTCAATTTGTTGAAGATATAGTTGCATATGGAGATGAGTTATCCCAGCCTTCAAGTGGACGTAATACACCTGTTCAAGATGCTCCTTCAACACCCTCTGATTGTATTAAACGCATATCTGGATTATTTGAGGTATTCAATACTGTTATGAAAAGTCTATCTGGAGCATTAAAGGCTTTTCAATTTTTAACAGAATGTTTACAAAAATTTTTGAAAACTATTGATCAGGTGGTCAGAGTACAAATCAATCTTGAATTTATACAATGTGCCAATGAAAGTCTGCATTTATTATTGTCTTCTTTGAGATCTAAAGTGCTGTCAAGCTCTGTTGAAGGAATATGTGAACTTATTAAATCAGAGTTGTCTTTATGTTCAGAATTCGATGTGGCAACAATTATGTCACTTTTGGCTATGATTTCTCAAACTATAAAAGAAGTGTCGGCTAGTTTGCCTGTTGCTTTAATTGATGTTATTCTGGGATATGATTCTGTAATACTATCTTTACGCTTGGCTCAACCAACAAAAATACAAAATGCTATTGTGCATGTGTATCAAAACATATTGGCATTAAGAAATATCCCTTTACTACAAAAGGCATATAAATATATGCTGGATGATCTATATATGGCATTTAAAATTATTACAAATGGTGCTATCAGTTTAATAAATGATAACCAAAGTAAGAAAGTTTACACAGTATATGAATCAAAACTAATAATTCTTTTTTATTTGAGATGTTTATCAGAATTAGCTAATGCTAGCAATTCTATCATAGCAATGTGGGCATTGCAGCCTAGTATCTTGGACTTATTAGCTCTAAAAGCGCAGCCATTCCACGAGACATGGTATGAGCATCATTCTGTACAATATTCAATATTATATTTACTTCATGCGCATAGTAAGAAAATAACAATTTTGTTGGCTCCAGCCATTTAACAATATGCAGTCAGAAACGCGCCAATGCTTATAATATGTTAGGTATAACAATGATTGAAGATGAAACAAGTCCCACATCTGGTCATTATAGTATAATCATGAATATTTTGTCTAAAGCTTTAGAAACATCATTACCAAATGAAACTTTAGAATTAATATTGGATTGGAGTCGAGAATTTTTTATTCACTCTGAGAACTTTGTTTCTACTTTAATCATGAATGAAGATTTTGTGGGACTCTTACAGAAACTGATAAAATGTGGTGCATCTATTGATAACAGCATAACTTCAAAAGTTCACGCATGTCTTATGGCTATTTTTAAAATGCCTGATATAAAATGGCCCATTATCATATATAAATCATTATGTGACTTATGTGCTTTGCATATTTGCAATAACTCCGTAGATATTCGAATGAAATATACTTCTTTATTATTTTTACTTCCTGTCACAGTTACTTTAGACTGCCTACCAAATCCAAAAACATTTTCAAAAGATCGATCTCAGTTGATAAAATCAATACAGAAATGGAATTTTCAAAGTGGTTTATGTGGCGAAATGCTTCCATTGTATTTCAAAACCTTCATGAACTATATGTTAAATGGTAAAATAGAAGAAAATCAATGGCTGCTTGAAATTTTTCAATTGAGCTGGCCTTTAAGACAAGGCAATGCTAAGTTATTTAAAAACCTTGCTCTATGTGATAATCGACCGCTAGTGCTGTGGTCACAGTGGGAATCTGCTCAATTATGCATTGCTAATAAATTAAGAACACCTTTAGGAAAGCCACAGGATACTTTCATGAGCATAGAGGGTGCTATCAAAATCTTGGCAAGGGTATTTACAACAATTGATGAAACTCATAGAAGCTTTGATAATATAATGGAGTTGATTGAAGAGCAGAAACGAATCAGGTTTTTATTAGGTTTTATGGAACAGCTTGAAAAGGCAATTTATAATGCCGTTGAAGGCACTGCTATGGCATTACCACAACATGAGAAATCTGTAAAAACTTTTTTCCGAACAAATGCTTCTACTTGTAGGGAATGGTTATCTAGGATACGTTGTGCAGTAATGGTTGTTGGGCTGCATGGTATGTCGATGCCAATATGCATTAGGCAAGGTGAAGCGTTATTACATGAAATAACACTTTCTGGTAATTATGAAAAAGTCGAATTTGAAAGAGTCATAATAAAATTTGTTACAAGTTTAGTTTTTGCTAATGAAGCTGCAGCTATTTTCGGTTTATACAGTTGGATCAAACAAAATGTGGGAAAGAAGTTGAACTGGCTGAAATTTGTTGCTGAGGAAGCAAATGGAAAATATGAAGATGCACTAGAAGGATATCTACAATTAACATCAGAGGATGAATTCAAAAATTATGATAATCAACTTATTAGCTTTATCTGTGATCGTATTAATGGTTGTTATGTGAAATTAGGGTTCTGGAGAGATTTATGTAATTGGAAAAAAATTGAACAGAATTTGTGGGAAGAGCGTAATATGAAAAATCCAATGGTTATACCCTTTAATCAGTTTTCTGTTGAAGAAGCTACTGCACTATACCTTTTTGAAGATAATGATTTATCATACATGGAACATTTATCGAATTGGGATTGCATAGAAGTTAATGAACAAAATAAATTGAAACATTCAGAGTGTTCTTACAGTAAAATACTATCTAAAACTGAAAATACTCTTTTGAATATTGCACTAAAAATTACTTCCAATAAAGAATTAGTGAACTGCCCTACTGGTATATTCCATGCTATAAGAACTGCTGAAGGTTGTATTCAAGAAAGCATTCGAGACCCCCCTTCAGAATATCTCACTCAAGCTTTGCTTCTACAAAATGTGTCATATGGTTTGCAAGAACTTTTGCGAAATAATACATCAGTTTTCAAAATTGTTCCGTTTGATAACAGACACAGCTCAACGCTTCTGAATAAAGTATTATGGTGGACTGAATTTTTTAATTCATTGAATGGTAGCTTCACTGAAGAAGTTGTAAATCTTAGATTAGAAACTGTTGCTGCAGCAAGACGAGAAGGAAATTTCAAGCTTTCTAAAAAACTGTTACAGAAACATTTCTTATCATCAAATGACTTTACTTTTACGAATGGAAACTTAGGAAATGTTACAGATTTTATTATCAATAATTCGATTCAAATTGATGCTACTAAAATATGGACAATAGAAAATTCCAGGGCCATATCTGAAACTGCTAAACTTCTTCATGCTACATCAGAAAATAGAGAATTAGCAATTCAATTAGCTGCAGGAGCTTCATTAGGAATTTGTCAAAAGCTTGTTTCAACTAATGAAAATGTGCACACATTAAAAGAAGATCATCAAGAATTTTACTTACTTTGGCTAAGTGGATACAATTGCAAACAGATAAACTTTTGACAACGGATTTGACAGCACCTCTTACTCGTTTAGTGACTGCTTTGCCAGATATAGGGGCTGAAAGCAATAATTTACATGATCGAGTGTTCCTATATTGGATGGTGCTGTAGGAAAACTACTGAAGAGCGCAGTAAGGCAATGCCCAGAATTGGCAAAGGCATGGAATGCGTTAGGAAATTGGTCTTACAGATGGGGCAGGAAAATGATAGAATTAGGAACAACCAGTCTTTCTGATTCTGATAAAGTGGAAGTTAAATCTGTGATGCCTTCTGATATTGACATAAAGCAAATGGAAAGAATTATAAATATTCTAACTCAGACCAGATCCATAGTTGATGAAGAAGACATTGACACAAATGTTATTAATACCAGTGATATGATCGAAGCTCAATTAATGGATGTTCCTTGTTTGAGTGATATGTCACGGGAAAATATTCTTGTGTTAGTGAATATTTGGAAGCAGTCACAAAAAAGAATGTATGGATATTATGAGTTAGCTGCTGATGCTTATTTCAGGTAAATATTATAAATTGTTTAATTTAATTAAACTTAATTAAAATTAAGAATTAATTGTTTAGTTTAATTGCATTAATTAAATTAAATCAAATAGAATTGATGATATATATATATATATATATATATATATATAATATAACATATATATAAATAGTGGGAAAACTCTCACACTTCTTTTTCCCGGAATCGAGTTGGTGTTTAACTCAGCTCACAGGCCTGCCTTAGGGCAGTACTACCCATATATCCGTATATATTAGTTATGATAGATAACAATTTGGTGATGCCTTTTTATTTATAGATATCTCCAACTATCAGCAGCAAAATAATAATGAACAAAGTTGTGCTTCTGTTAGCGCTACTTTAAGACTTTTACGGTTAATAGTAAAACATGCTATGGGATTGCAGGTAAAATTTCAATTATACATATAGTTAAGATATGTGTCCTGTTACTGATCTAAATGATTATTTTGATTGGATGTTACTACTGTACTTTTTAATAGGGGGTGTTGGAATCAGGTTTAGCAGTAACGCCCACAAAACCATGGAAAGCTATCACACCTCAATTATTCTCCAGATTGGATCATCCAGAAACTTATGTTCGCAAAAGACTATCTGAATTGTTATGTCGAGTT